CAGAAGTTCACAAGCACCTGTAGAACTGAATTTTTGTCATCTTGACATTCAGCTTTAGTCCAAGAGAGCATCTGTCTGAAACTGTGATCCGTTGGGCCACCAAGAGAGTGATTGTTGCTTTGTAGTCTTGTATCATTTTCAGAGATATGTTCTGGCATATTGTTGTTTTGCTTTTGGTATCTATTTTCAGCAATGCTGCGAAAAAGCTTCTACGGGTTCATCTCTCACTGATGCAAACAAGACAGCCAGTCAGTCTGGATAAAAGCGTCTCCAGCTGGTGCACTCTCTGCCTTGGACTGCTGGAAAATAAAAGTCTTAAACCATGAGAAGTTTGCTTTTTTCCATGGTTCTGCTTTTATTTGAGTGCAATAACAGAACATTCTTGCTGTTTCCCCCTTGAAAGACTTTTTTTTTCTTTTACTGTGGATGTGCAAATGTTCTGAACCAGGAAATAAATCTGTATCCTCAGAAAATCCCCTGTCACAGTTAGCATTTGCCACAAACATAGTGTTTTCTTTCCAGCTTCTGCTCTGTTTTGTCCCTCATGGTATTTGCAGATTTTTCCTCTTTATTTTCCCCTCTACTTGCTGTGGAGGAAAGCTGCTTTCGCTCACCTGCTGTGCAGAAACGTAGGTGCTACATCTGTCCCAGCAGGTGAGTTTGAACATTTTAGGCATGAAACAGCCAATATACAAACATCTAAACATGAAACTTAAAACTGTGCAAATAATTATCCAATTTAAGGACAATTTTAAACACCAGAAAATGTCAGAACACTTTTATCACTAGATAATAAGCTTTTATCTGACAATAGGCATATGCGAGGCTCTGTGGGAGATGATTTTAATCTTAAATAACTGTCTGAATTTTACAAAGTGTCAAAGCTGCAGTCAGTGAGGGCTTTGAAGCAGCTCAACAGAGCGTCCAGCTTTACACACTCAGAACTGAACGGGGAGATTTAATCACAGGGAGATAAAGGTTATCGTGAGCGTGCACGGCTGTGTCTACTGTATGTTATGCAAGGGTTTAATGCTGACTGGAGAGTAGTCAGAGCTGAATGATGATTGCATTATGACTCAGAGCCATAAGGTGCAGAATGAGTGGCGATTACTTTATTTGCTCCATGGTTGGCATGAGTAATTTTCCAAGGGTGTGCCAGGAATTTGTTGTTTTTTGTTTTTTTTTACATGCCTCTCATTGGGGAATGGGGAGGAATCGGGGACAGTTTTCACCCTACACACAGTCAAAACCAGGAAAACTTTTAAAGCAGGGGCACCAGGATGAGGTTGCTTTGGGTTCAAAGCTTCGGCCCGTTTGCTGCGTATCGCTTAATTCTCTTTCCTGTCAAAATACTGTTCAGTAAAGGCCTCCAGTGATTATAAAGCCTTTAAATAACAACAACAAAAAAATCCAAGAGGCAATCTTTATTGAGAGATGTAGGAAAAAGTGAAGCTGCTGAATGCCTCTAAGTATGTTATTTTGTAATCATTAGAAGAGAAGAGCTACCCATCACACTCCACTTTAAGTTAATATGGGATATTTACATCTTTTATTCAGAATGATGTAATTTTCCTGGGGTATCATATTGCCAGCTTATGTTTAGTCAAAGTCACATCAACATGTTTTTAATAGTCTCCAGTGAGAGGAGTGTGTGTTGAACAAAGGGCAGCGCTGCAACACAGAATGTAAAGAAAAACAAACTAAGATTTACTGCAAAAATAAAATGGTGTGCATTAAAATTTTGTGCTAATCCTGAAGACAAAAAAACATAATCTATAAATTTACCATAAAAAGTAAATAATCTGTCCATTTGTGTTTGTGGTTGGTTAAGTCCTGTTTGTTTTTAGCCATTAATAGTTATTATATATCAAAATACAATCATAAATAAAGATATTTTTAGCTGATATGCTGTCAAAATTCATGTTTCATGTGTTCAATAATACGAAATCTTCAATAACACAGAAAAAAGTCACTTAATTTTGTTTTTTACTCCTTCCTAGATTTGTCTGAAAAGTTACTAAATAGATAAGGTCGTTAAGTTGACAACAGCCAATCCCTTCTGCTCATCCAACACTTGACCACGCCCCTCCATGTATCTTGGCTCCGCCCACTTTTGGGGTACGTTTTGAAAAATGTTCTGGGGGCGGGGCTATGCATTTACATCTGGCTTGAATACACATTAAAGTTGAAGAATTGCCCCTTTTTGCCTTCAAACATTCACATTATAAACCAATTCCATTTTAAGATGAATCATGAAATGTTCAGTTATTGTGTTTTTTTTAATAGTTTACTTTTGATTGTTTTTCTCTTTTTAATGCTCTTAAAATACTTTACAAAATACAAAAACATATCATTTGGTATATAACTGACAGTAACAGAAGCAACTTTAAAAAGCATTGTTGAGGTTTTCTGCCAATTTGCCAATTTTATTTATAACCACACTGAATGAGCTCTCTTCTAAAAATTTTTAGGATGGTCAAGCATAGCAAAATATGTTATTTTCTGCAAACTAATAGCGAGCGCTCATTTGCAGATGGATTTTGGAGACTGCAAAGCTCACACGTTTGCTCTCACTAACCCGGCAGCATATAGAGAACATCATACACCCAGGAGCTGCACCTCATGCATGGAGAGCTAAAAATGTTGCATTTAATGGGAGAAACTTCCCACAAGTGAAGGCATTATGGTATGTTGTTATAATCGTCAAGCAATTTTGTTCCATAATCCTCTAAATATGTTGAGTAAGTGATGGTTCCTGACAGCCGGGAGGCTTGTTTAATAACCAAACTATTTTAGTGCAAAGTTATTCTATTGTATTATATTTTGAAGAACAGCATCTTGCTGATATAAGCATTTGTGTCATTAATAAACTAATTTATCCTGGGATAATTTAGCTCATGCTGGAGCTACAGTTTCTTCACTTAAGATGGCAGAACTAAACACTACTGGAAAGAAATATAGTGCTTCATTTTTTATTTTTACTGGATTTATGGTGTTGTTCATCCAATTTTATTAGTTTTAGATAGAAAAAGCTTCGTAAGCCTCAGGATTGGACTAGACTGATAAGTTTGTGCAGAAAATGTAACGGTCTGATTTTGTATATAAATGTTTAATGTCTGGTAGTTTTATTGTTCATAAAACTGAGCAGAAACTATAATGTCCATTCACGCAACTTTGAGCAATTTGTTTGAGTAGATTTATGATTTTTTTAGGAAATTAAACAAGAAATAACATCTCAGAAGATAATTTATCATTTTACAAAAATAAAACCAGGTTGTTAAAACTAAACTACAGTTGATAGTTTTGCCTTGAAGCTTCACATCGCCTGTCTGATGGTGTGTTGGTCCCTGTTGTGCTAAACAGCCTCCACATGTTAAACCATCCACTTCAATAAACCCGTGGAGATAAGAGCTGCGGCAGCAATAAGATGTTAGCATGAGACAGTTTTCGTCGTGGAAGTTGTAAGGTGAGCCTGGGTAAATCAAAGAGATGTGTTACGTCATCGAGGTCTGAGTCATTTGGAGGTAAAGTCAACACCTCAAACCTGTTGAGATATTTTTTATTTTGTGTCAGGATCTTTTATCCAGCTAAAAGTGGCCCCAGCCATCAGGGAATATTGTTTAAATGGCCCACAACAATGCTTAGGTAGGTGGTTTGCAAGTATGGTAAGTGTGATACATAACTCAAGCTTTTCCCAGCAGAACGAGCCACTGTATTGCCTCTGCAGGCGTGTTTTTCTTCCCATGCATCCCGAGTTCCCAGGTAAGCGGTGCACATGCATCCAGCCATTCATATGATGTCAAATAAAACCTAATTCATCACAATCAGACCAGACCACCTTCTTCCTTTCCTTTCTGGACTGATTCAAATGTTCAGATGCCCACTGTTGGTGGGCAGAGGTTGGCATGGAAACCCAGACTGGTCTGTGACTATATAGCCTCACGGAAACTGTAATGTGTTGTGTTTGGAGCACCGACTTCGAGCTCATTTGTTTTACTGCACAGGCCAGCCTTTGCTCTCTACGTGCATCGGTGACCCACCGTTTCTTCCTTGAACTGCTTGACAGATGTAAACCCTGCAGACCAGGAACAGCCCACAGGAGCAAGCAGTTTTGGAGATGCGCTGACTTGGTTGTCTGTTTTTTGCAATCTGGCTGTTGTCGAATGTAACAAATATATTTCACCCACAGACAGCTGCTGTGATGAGGAGATAATTAGTGTTTTTCAGTTCACCTGACTGCAGCCATAATGTGTATAGCATGTTATCACTGCACAGTGAGAATAGTTTCTTATCCTTCAGAACTTCAATAAAACACAACTTGCAAGGATATGTCTGAACAAGATGAATGTAGCTTGGAGAAAAAGAATGTAACCATAAATAGGGACATGCTGATCCGATCACGTGGTTCAGACTGGATCAAGCATTAAATACCAATAAGGGATCAAATATATATGTATATTTATTCTAAAAATGTTATTCCAAACAGGAACAGTATCTGCAGTTATGTGAGGTTATAATCAGACTTATCTCAAAACAACACACCTGTGTGACTAAAACTAAACTGCTGCATAAATATATATATATATATATATATATATATATATATATATATATACACACACACAAAAGCTGAAAAATTGTCTGAGTCTCAGAAGTTGGAGATTTTTCTAAAGTCAAATATTGTCCACTTTTGGAACTTTTTTTTCACTTTTTCTTGAAAATTCCTGTATTTTTTAGAACACATTTTTGAGTTTTAAAATTCAGACATTTCCTTGTGTTTTTTCTAGATTTTTTATTTTTTGCGGATGTTTACTCCTTTTTTTTCTGTCTACAATAGTCTTGGTATGCATCATACAATCTCGGATCTCTGATGGGGACGCCCCTAAATTAGAGCATGAAGTAGGCGTCAGTACATCTGTAAACAGGACGTATGCTCTGGCAGAGCTGCGTCTCCAGCTGCGTGAATAACGTGCTAAATGTTTTTACATGCGTTTTCTCACATTGTCATTGACCAGCTCGTCCTCCGTAGCAGCCTGGATGCTGTAGGCCAGGAAACAGAGGATAGCGCCGATCCACAGCAGGATGGAGAAGCCGCCGAACAGCTGACGACAGAACTTGACCCACTCTGGGGTGGTGGGAGGCGGAGTCAGCGCATTCGGACCGTCCCTGGCCAGAACTTCTGCAGCTCTGGCGTTGGTCAGGCCCTGAGGGAGAGCAATTTTTAGGGATGAATGTCCTTCTGCTTGCAGTGGATATCTTTTTACAACACAACGGCCCAGTTTTTACCATGGCTTAAAGGCAATTTTACTGCTTCAGCTGCAGAACATCAAGAATTCCTGCCTGGCCTATTTAACACAATAAGCACAATAAACTAGGTGACTCTGCCTGTAAGAGTTCCTTAGCTGGGACTTTATGGAACATTTTACTCAGATGTCATGGTCTGATTTACATAAAATCTCTTTGTATACTGTAAATATCTGGAATACAAAAATGTTATTAGACTTTCTAGGAACTCGCACTGAATTCATTTGTGCTGCCTGAACCTTTACCTGTGCTCCCAGTGACTCTATTTTTCCATAATCTAACCACGATAAAAATCTGCTTCAGTTCACCTGCAAAGCTGCAATATCAACCCGAACGGCAAGCAGCAAATGTGGCTGCAGCAAAAAGGCTTTGTGATGCGTTTGTATCTGTCCATGTATGTGATAGTAGGACTTTTTTTTTTTTTTTGTATCAAAGAATGCAAGTTTGTTTGTGTGTGTGAGGGATTAAAGATGAAGGAGAGCCCAGGTGAGCCGGGCACGCCGCAGTGGGTCGAAATCAACCAAAGAAGCGCTTGGTCTCAGTTTGCATGTTGCCTTCCAGGGAAGGCAAGCACAGATTACATCTTTATGTGGGATATTACAGCAGCTCTTTATTGTGTGCTTGTGTGCAAGTGAAAATACAGGCGGCCTGTGTGTGTGTGTGTGTGTGTGTGTGTGTGTGTGTGTGTGTGTGTGTGTGTGTGTGTGTGTGTGTGTGTGCCGTTACCTGTGTCAGGTCCACTCCATAGCGTTTTCCCACTTCATCCACAGATATTTTATGGTCATCCTGTAAGGATAAAATATTTCTTTGTAACTTGTGCTTCGGCTGAACACAAACACAGTCTGTATTTGGCAAAGCATGAAATGAAAACTAGTTATGATTCTATAAGGAGTCATTCGGTGTTATATACTATGTGATCTGAAGCTGTATGGCTGCTGCAGAAAAAGCAAAGCCCCACTGCTGCCCCGTCTTACTGAAAAATGCTTTATTCTCAGTTTCCAACTGGAGCCGGAGGATTCAAATAAATGATTCATGTCTCATGACAGATCAGAGAGGTCAAAGATGTCCGACCCCACCGCATCTCATTGTGCAGAATGCATGAGCATTGTTTTCTGTAAATGTATGTCTGCTGCATTCAAGAATGACAGCTTATGATATTATGCATAAGGCAAGCTCTCCAAATGTACAGAAATGCACGCTCCTGTAAAATGATTGTGTTTTGTGAATGTATTCTAATCCAGAATGAGTCACATGTTTACAAAGTCAAAGGGACAATTTTGTTTATCTGAAAGCGCAGCTGGAGAACGGGTCAAAGTGACATTTTGTTCTTGGCAGTATATTGCTGTTTTTCACTGATTGTTATCATTTCTGGAAATAATTTAAATCCTGTCCTCTGTTGATGAAAAGAATGTTTGTATCCAGGCTGAGTGAGGGAGTGACTGACAATGAAAATAAGAACTTATTTTGCAGAATTTGGTCAAAGAAAGCTGGTTTTGGCTAAATAACAGCTGTGAAAATCAGATTAAACAGGAAAATATTGGCTGTCTGAAGCAGGGTTGAAAACACCTAACATCAAAATTTTCTGTGCACATTGAAGTGAACATCTGGCTCAATCTGGGGTAAAAAGTAAACACGATGCTTACAAGTAGAAAAAAAAAATTATTTGCATCATCCATTATTGAACTGAGCCTAAAATCTGGATTTCACACAGCGAGATACACACACACACACACACACACACATATATATATATATACATAAACTTTAAAACATAGCTGGGATGATTGTTTTCACTTTATAGAAGAACTTAAATAGAGCACAAACTCACTCTGGTGACGATGTTCTCAGGTTGGAAAATCAAAGGAACGTCTCTTTGTTGAGTCACGCTAAATGAAAATTTGATCATGTTTTATGCTTTCTCATTTTTCAAATGCACAGTTTCAAGTTTTAACAGGTGGTTTTTAAAATTATGTTTCTGTAACGACTTCAGCTGCAGTGACTAAAATATGTTGGTTCTGAAAGTCCATCAGGAGTTTCTCTATTTTCAAAGCTCTTCAACGTGTTTGAACACTTTCAGTAATTTACAGACATCTGCGCTATTGACTGTTAAACTTTCATTCTTTACTTAAAATTTTTTCCTCAACTTTCCTAATGTGAGGAAAAAAGTTTGAAGCAGCACGATTTCTTAAATTTTCCTTCAATTTATCCAAGTTTGGTAAAACAACTTCATGCCCACCTTTAGTTCTCATGGTTGTGCCACTGACCTTCTGTCTATGTTTGGTTTTAAACAATGGGAATTGCATTTTATCAACAAAAGGCCCTCATAAAAACCTGAGTGTGCAATAAAACCTGATTGCCTGCACATCATTTCACCAGATGGAAGAAGAAACGTTCTGCTAATTCCTGCAGAAAATGGCGAATATTTGTACTAGACGATAACCGTGGACAAATTAGCAATTACTGGAACTCAATTACTGTTGTGTTCTAAGTTTACCAGAAGCTACTATGTACTTTCAAGAACTAGGAAAGTTCTTGAAAACTTTCTGCTTATGTACCAGCATATTGTACAGAAAAGCCCTATTCATAAAAAGTTCCATAAAATCTACCTTCAAGTTTCAGGGAATGAACCTTAATGTAAATCACCTTGTGCTGCAGTTTGGTTCTTTAAAGTATGTGGCCAGTTCTGGGAAAGTAACCAGTAAGCTCCAAGAAGGTTTTTGGAAAATAACCGATATGTTCCAGGAACTTATTCTATTGTTAGCCACCTGAAAGCACGGCCTAACTCCTGAATGTGACTAGCAAGTAGTGACCAGGAAAGTAACCAGACATTTGCATAAAAGCTCAAAGAAGTGTCTTTGGAGTTCCATTAATTACCATAATTATCCTTCTGGCAAGATAGCCAGTAGGTTTTATGAAAGTGCTCAGTAAGCTCCAGAAAATACCTCATTATTTCTGGAAAGGAGCCTCTAAGTTCCAGGTAAGTATGGTCTGTATCATGGCGTACGGCCAAATAGTAAGGCAGACTCAAAATATTAGGATAATTTTCAGTTATTTTAGATACAAAAGAAAATCTATATTGAACAGTTTCTGTTCTTAGAAACTTTTAGCTTGACTCCTTTGTAAGAACTTCTCTGTGTTTCTCCAAACTGGAATCTCCCTGATTGCTGTTTCTGCCGTGTGATATACTGGCTGCCCATAAGTACTCCTAACAGCTGCACTGTCTCATAAAAACTCTAAGGAACCAGTTTGGTTTTCCACAGCCCAGAAACTCAGCTTGGTGCCTTGTCACTACATCAATAAAAAAATAAAAGCCTCTTCCAGTAAATGGATAATCCTTTTCTCTTTATCAGGTAGGATTTGATGGTTTTGCAACGGAACAGTTTTGTTGGTAATATTCCACAAATAACCCGTAATCATGTCATCTTTGGGGGTCTTTTGAATTTAGAAGTTCGCAGTAAGACATTAATCAGCAATCATCTCTGGGAATTGCGTCAGTCTTACAAAATAAACAGTGTTTGTTTTTTCTTACCCAGCATAAAAAAAAAATCTTTCACTTTCTTTACTAACAGAAACCTCAGTCGGCAGGAAGTAATTTGGCCAAAACTCATCTGAACGACCTTGTGTTCTCAAAACATTTAGCTGTTATTTATATTGGGCTATAGCCAGTATTGATCCACCAGCAGCTAGAAGTGATTAAAGGGATTTACTGTGTAAAAACAACGGAAATGGGAAGAACTAAATGAAGAAGTATATGAAGCAGAGTGATGAAGGTAAAATGTGACAATCACAAAACTCACTGTTGACAGTTTCAAAGGGATTTTCCCCTTTAATCAGGTGCAGGCCTACTTTATTATTGACAGGAGTTACTTTATCACACGTGGTGCAAGAAGTAAAACTTAACCCAGTTTTCATGGGTATCGCTTGGTGGCTTTTTGACAGCACCTCAAAGAACTGCGGCTCTGCAAACGGCAGAAACCCGGCGCCAGGCTGCTGGTGGCCCACAAATTATTCAGAGTCTTTCTGAGTACAAAGCGGAGCAGCCAGAGGGAGGCTGAGCAGATAGAGGAGAAACAGGCCGGCGTTGTGGTTCGTCTGCAGCCGACTGCACAGCAAAAGTTGGATTGCCATTTTGTTTACGGGCCACCGTTTTCATTTATAGCCTTGTTAAATAATCTGGTGTCTGTGGCGTAGTGCTATTTGGAGATCATTTGGGGGCAGCGGAGATTAAATCAATCACGGCACAGGGACGGCATGTTTTCTCACCAAGGCCACCTCCTTCTTCAGCTCTTCCAGGTCCTTCTCCTTCTTCTTCCTCTTCTCTCCGCTTTCTGCCCCCCACTGTGGAAAAACACAGATGCAACAAACAGCAGCCTAAACCAAGGACATTTACATTCATGGCAGTATATTACAAGCACAATGAACTTGTGCATGCCGTTTCATTTCAATCTCCCAGCACTATTGGCAAACCATTCACGGAATATGGAATATATATATATATATTTTTTTTTTTTTTTGCCACAGTGGAAGCAAGCGTGTGTGTGTGTGTGTGTGTGTGTGTGTGTGTGTGTGTGTGCGTGTGTGAGTTGGGAACAGTTGGAAGAATGGCGCATCATGGAAATCATCTGCCGCTGTCAGTCTCCTCTTAGCAAGCACGTGTGCATGTCAGTGCAGCAGTGAAGGAGGGATACGGCGGGAGAATGTGAGGGGAGAGCGTGCACGTGAGTGACACGGTGAAAAACTAATCAAAAAAAGAGCCAAAGAGGGAGCGCCGAGCCGGTGGAGAGCCTGAAATGTGTCTGGCATAGCAATTTCCCCCCACTGTGCACGAGGAAGATTACCAGGCTGTCCTCCCATAAAGCTAAATGGAATGAGGCCTGATGGAGAGAATACAGGGAAAATTACAAAATAACGCAGATAAACAGCAAGCGAGGAGGAACAAAACTTATTGGGGAGGAGGGCCATCATCCTGAGATGGGGGCTTTTGTTGCTAAAGAATGCTCACAGACTTCATTCCCCTTAAACATGTTGGGAGCACAACATACAAACAGGGCCTCGTAAAAGTAGTTTGCCATGCCACAACCACAAACTTGGATTTCTATTTACTTTGTATGCAACTAAATAAAGCTAGAGGACAAACAACAACATGAAGGTTAAAACAAAGCTGATCCACTGCTCAGGTTGGAGAATCTGGGACAGGAAAATAGAGATAAAGCTTACTTTGGTCAAATGAGATCAAAACTTGACTTTATTTTTGCATATTTTTAAAATCCTGAACTGTGTTTGAACTTCACCCTGCACACCACACGCATGGGAAGACATGGTGGTGACGGCATCATGCTGCGGGGATTTATATCTTTCAATACAGGGAGAAGCTTATCAGAGTTGAAGATGGAAGAAGCGCCACAAAAGCACAAAGTTTTGCTAAAATATCTTAGAACACTTGAAATGAGACAAAGCTAACTTATAAGTAACTTTTCAAGAAATAGGAGTTTTTTAGGTCAGTAATTTTAAAACGCACTAAAAATAAGCTCCTATATCTTTTTAAAAGATACTTGTAAATTAATTTTGTCTTATTTCAACTGTACCAAGATATTTGCACAAGAATAAATCTAAGTTTGATGGGCTTAATTTTTTTTAAATTTACAGCTGTTCTTCATCTAAGCTGACTGAGATTAATCTTTTTTCAAAGAATTTATATTAAAAATTTGTCTTTAGATTTAGAATGGTTGTAAAACAGTTGCAACGTAGCACAACAAAGTTTTGACTGAAAGCACATGCTACATGTTTTAAGTTTTATTTTTTTTAAAACCAGCATTTTGAACTTTACATGTCCTTCATTTTGTTGGTTTATGACCCAAAAAAATCCTATTAAAATGCAGAACTTTGTGGTAGAAGATTGAAATTATGTGAAAATATTGAATTGGTGTGGATCCTTTTTGACCGGTTTACCATTTCTGCTCCGTCTGGTTCAAAAGCCATTGCTTTATCACATTAAAACTTACAGGTGTTTAAAAAAAAGCACTTTTTTTCTCATTTCTTTTTTTTTGTTGTTGTTGCTTGAAAAAGGTTATGAACTTACCCCTCTGCCCATAGTTGGTGTCCAGACGTCTGCAGGTTAAACGGTAAATGACGAACTCAGCGGTCTGGGATCTGCTGGGATCTCCCACCAACATGTGCAGAAGACACTGCTGCTGGCTTTTTTTGGGCCTGGCACCCTGCACCACACCAAATATCCCATTCCCCCCCTCAATGTTCCCTTCTCTCTGGGTAACCTGAGCTACACATCCCCTGCCCCACACCATTCCCAGGGTTTCTCTCCCCTCTCAACCCCCCACATCAGCAAACGCTTCCCCACCTGCTTAATATTCCCACACGTGGCTCTTCGGTTAACAACAGCTCATCAATCACTGCTGTCAGAACTACAAATGAAACCTTGCTCTCTACATAACGCATACAGTATTTACAATAAACATGATAATGAGGGATCGATAAGAGGCCTCGAGGTTTATAATGAGGAAGCAGCAGAGTGTTCAGCTGTTGGGATTCTGAGGCAGTCCTGGTGTCTGTTGTCCAAATAGATGAGCGAAGCAGTGAGCTGTGCCACTGAATCCAGTTTTCATTGAGTCTTCAGCTTGATTCAAAGCCAATGCAACGCCTCGGTTGGCTCAAAGTCTGCCGTCTTTTCCGACATACGGCAGGTCAACCACTGGGCTCGCACAACAGATGCAGCAAACGATCCTGTGTCAAATAAGCTCCAAATATCTCCTAACTAATTGCCAATTACTTTGAGGCTTGATTTTATGCTTGAGTTCTTTCCGCACTGCAATATGACTAATCCCCCGTAAAGTGTCTACTTCAATATCCTGTGCCACGCTCCTCACACAGGTTTCTGGTCTTTCAACATTTTCCAGAATCTCATCCAGGCTGAAAGAAAAGGTTAAACATGTCACGGAGAGCTCTGTAAAACTAAATGGTACGCACTGCATCGCCAAAAGTATTGGCTCTCTTACCATCACACTCATGAACTTGAGGGTTTTCTGTGTCTGTAACAGATCCAACACTGCAAAGAATACAAAACCATAGCAAGTATTTTTGGTCTAGTGTCTTGTGTGATCATCTTAGTACACTTAAAATATGACAAAACTAATCTACTAGTGTTTTTTTTTAGCAAGAAATAGGAGCTTGTTTTTAGTCAATAATGTGCCTCATAACTCCTTAAGAAACATTGTGGAGTGAAAACTGTAGAAAGGTCATGTCACTGATTTGGCAGTATTTAGGATATTTAAAGCAAAACATTAATCAATAATTATAGATAGACTGATATGAAATGCTTATGTTTTTCAGCTATATCATCCAGTCTCTTTGATTTACTGCGAAATAAGCCACAGGACCTTCCTCAGAAGCTTCTCTGAATATTTTATTTGTTCTCCGAGAAACTGAGACGAGTCCTTCGTATGTAGTTTCTATTGCAGGTTCATTCTGTGTCATCACTTTTGATCTCCGTTCACATCATGAACAACCTCTTCCTGCGGAGCTGTGGGCTGATTTCTGACCTCATTCGTGATCATAATACATTAACCTTAAAGCTGAGGGCAATTTCCTATTTCTACCTTTTGCCAATAACTGAACCACCAGCTGTCAACTTCTCATGCGGCTTAGTGCGGATGGTTGCTGTATCCCGTTCCAGTTTTGTGCAGACCTAGTATCTTGTCCCTGACAACCTTTAACAGCTCTCTGGTTGCGACCGTGGAGGAGGGGAGGCTGGAAAGGAAGAAATTGATTTGGTGGAGATATGTGCTTAATGAACATAATGAGTTGAGCTCAGGAGGATCTCTAATTGATTGACTGATTGATCATGTGCACACAACCAATCTGTGGGAGCCAGAATGCTGACTAGCCTGTTGAGGATCAAATACTCATTATCCCCTGCAACAGAAAGTGAAAGCGTTCATTGTTTCTTAAAAATACATCTTAAATTTTTATTTGATGCCAACAGCAACTGTTGTATGTTTCACTTTGTAAAGATTATCATCATTAAGCTGTAAAGATACTAAAGTAAGTCATTATTTCATCTTTGGTTTCAACCCCTACCATGTTAGTGACTCAGCCGCCCAACACAATAAATGTCTGATATTTGGGACGTTGATGTCTTAATTATCTTGTGCTACTGGACAGAGAGAAGATCTAAAAAGCATGCAAAATGAAAGCCTTCTGTGAAATCATTGTTAATTGATCACATTTAACAGAAAATGTAATCATAGACAATTAGTATACAACATAAGCAAGGACTTGATCACTGTGTGGTCAGCTTTAATGTGAGAGGTACATAGAAGAGAAGGAACTTTGGAAACATCACGAATAAGCTAAAGACCGTTTTCATCCACATGGCAGTGAAAGCCTGAAATTACCTGGGGGGAAAAAATAAATAAATAAAGCAACAGAACACATTTACCTTCTCGGTGAAACTTAATTCCTTCAACATTTGCAGCAACATGTTGTATATCTTCAGTAAGTAGTGCCATTTTCTTTGAAGCCATCTGCTGGAGCGAACACATCAGAGCCAGTGACTTAAAGAAACGGAATAAGCAGATTAAGAAGACTGGCTCTGTTTTAGAGGCTCCCATAAAAGCCCTGCAGCTGACTGGAGAAAGAATAATGTTCCACAAGCTGCTCAACATAACAGACAACACAGCAAACCTCCATGTATCACGCTAATCAAACAACAAAGCACCTTCAGTCATGCTTGTTTGGTTCTTTTGTCATAACGATTGGTACAGGATGTCACTTATGCTTGCATAATAACTCTTCAATCATTATTATTGTTTGTTCATGTTCTTTGTTTGCAGCATACAGCACATTCAGTCACAGCACACCTGTGGAATTGCCTATTAATGCAAATAGCACATCAACCAATCAGAGCTGCAACTCAGTGTAGTTGGGCTTTTATGGTAAAGATGAATTGCTGAAGTCGAAATGGGAAAGAAATGAGAGTCTCACATCAGAAACTCCTGATACATGGGATTTTAACACATAAATATCTTGAATTTAAAAAGAAAATGTTGCAGCAGATACTATGTGGTTTGTGTGTCCTCGCAGCATCCTTCATCCTGAATGCACAGAACTCCAGCACTATGCTTAATATATTTACAAAAACAAAAATGTGGGATACAGTGGAAAGGGGGATTTATATAAAGATATGCAGACAATAAATTTGCTGCAAATGTACGGTGCTATCATCTGAATTTAGACCAATTTCTCTGAGGAATGTTTCCGACACTTCTGAGTCTACTTTATGCCATGAAGAATTATCTTCTGAAAGCATCAGGGAGTTCTGCTGGCAGTGTGCACCTAATATAACGGTGGTGAGTGCACGCGTTTTATTCAAATCATGTTTTTAAGCAGGTGAGACGACGCAGGTTGTCTCCTCAATAAAATAACCTATGCTGATTAGGGCTTTACATTCTGGAAGTAGGTTCATTGAAATAAAAAAAATAGCATTCATGTTTTCTTCCACTAACTGAACATATTAAAATAAAAATATTCTGCAGACTGCAAAATCCATTAAGTTATGTATTCAGTTGTGCAAAAGGACTGGACATGGCCAAAGAAAAAGAACATGTTGAAGGTGAGAAGGTGGATGGTGAGCGAACCTGATTGACTTCTGCTCAGCATTTCAATAAAGCTCGGACCAGTTCACATAAAATGTGCTCCAAATTTCCTCCAAACCAGATCTTTTCAAATATATTTCATCAGATTTGACCCACAAAATATATTTTCCACATAGGAAAAAAAAATAAAATCTAATAATCTTATCATTTTTAGAAATTACATTTGCAAAGCAAATAATAGACTGCATCCTCTGCCAGGTAAAGAGTGAATTTCTGCTTCATATGACAAAATCTTAAGTACCTAACTAGGCTTAATCAAGAAAAACCTTCCAAAACATAAGCACATTGTGTCTTTAAATGCTATGTTAAGGGATTTGAATCCTTTTTCTCTGCCTAAACAAAACAGTAAATAAATAAATAAATAAAAAATAGCTTTGCTGTGCATTATCCCCCCACCAGCTGGTCATTCAGACGGCGCAGCTGAGCAGGTGCATCAGTTAAAGTCTGCGACTGCACTGTGTCTGAATCTGAAGCAGAGCACTTCTGAAAAGGTCATGTATGTTCACTGAACCCCACCTGCTCGTTAGGTCAGAAAAAATTAAGCCTTTATGAAAATTATATCTCATTTTGTCACTTTGCAAAAATGTGAAAAGGTTGTGAATAGCTGCCAAGCATTTTTTGCAGGTTAACATAATTTCCGTCGGATGTGGTTAAGCCGTAAAGGGCACAAAACTATTCTGATTAAACTCTATATGTTTTTTTTTTTTTCATTTCATTAAAAGCAAACCACCTGGTGGTTCTTGTTCACCATTTAAAAAACAGATTTTGTCCCCTTAAGTGTTCCTGTCACTGCAAGCAAGAAGTACTAAGATTGCTAATAAAGTCAGGGCTATTTTCTAATGAGTTTTCTCCTCCTGCCAGCTGTAACAACATTCACATGGCACACAAAACCTTTACAACCTTTTTCTTTCACATAAAACCACCACCTTCAAAGAGTTTTAATTGAATAGTTTGTACTATAAGACCAACACGGCACAGGGCATCACGATTTCATCATTGTGAAATAAAAAGGACAAACTGTTTTCTTTTCACAAAAACAAATCTGAAAAGTGTAGCATGCATTTGGAATCCTCCTCCTTTTATCTCATTTCCCAAATACAATCCGGTGCAACGAATCGCCTACAAATTTCACCAAATGTGCAAGCAGAGTCTACCTGTGTGTAATTTAATGTGGGAATAGAAACGGCTGTTCTGTGAATGTTTCAAGCATCTGGAAGACCAAGAAACTCAGCAGACAGATTGTTGATAAAGTTGTTGAAAAGTGTAAAAAAGGTTTAGGTTAAAAACGGTATAGTTCAATAGATTATCTGAAAATGAAATGACTGAGTGTAAGACAGCTGCAAATCCATCAAGACATTTCTGTTCGCCTTGAATGACGGGCTGGGAAAGATAAGGAATCTATCAGAGAAGCAGAAAAATCTTATTTCTGAAGGAGCTTCAGAGCCGTTTGGGGCAAACAGTTCAGTTTCATACAAACTATTCCGGGGGAAAGGATGTGATCTGGTCAATTTAAACCAGAATTAAAGTTTTTTTTACATACACGCAAAACGTGAAGTGGTAAGCCAGCACTGAATATGGTCATAAGACACACTATCATCATCCTGTGGGAAAGCTTTTATTAACCCGAATCCTCCAGCAGAAACTGAACCCTAAATGCAGTTAGAACTACAACCGGATCAGAGCAAAGCTTATTAATGGGTTAAACTTGTTCACAGATGCCCTCTTTTCAATTTGACAAATGCTCTTTTATTTCTTACTGATACTCTTGGAAAAACAATTTTGGTTACTTGTGACATTTTTGTTTTGATATAAAATGCAGAAATGATTTATGACTGAAAACAAATAAGTTGTTCTTTGTGGCACCTTATGATTTTTATGAAAGCCTGAATTCTTTGAATCCTGGTCTTTAGACCTCGCCTGTGATCAGACTATTTTCTTTTCTGGTGTATGAACATATTAGAGCTATTTATAGTTTTTTCTCAACTATTGTTTTGTCTTTTTATCATCTCAACAATCATATGGTAATTGCAACCAAATATTCACACACACACACATAAACAGACAACTTTCTTTCACTCACTGACATTAAAACAGAATAAAATTGGTCACTTAGGCTTAATGAAATTATTTGTATTTGTTAAAAATAATGAGTGAGGTATGATTTTCATCCAAACTCAGATTTATCATTTGCCATAGTGTTTTGCCTTTTAAACAGCACAACTGGGGATAAATATTTATGTGTCCCTCCACAAGCTTTTTACAATAATTTGCTAGAATTGTGGTCCTTTATTCCCAAGAAGAATTGTGTGGTTGAATTTGAAAAAGTTCAGCAGGGACTGGGAAGTTGCTCGAAGTGTATAGAAATTTGGACGAATGTAAAACTTGAGGCAATCCTGGAAGAAAACCTGGACAGAAGATCAACTTCCAACAAGACGATGCCTCCAGTCGGGAGCATTTGTACCGACTCTCTCCCTGTCTCCGTTTCCTCATGGAAGAGTTTCCTCTTTTTAACAGATCCACAGACATTATTTCAGGAAAAAAATAAAAAAAATAAACAATAGATATTTTCAGCTGGGTTTACTGCTCAACAGCTGTGCTTATGGCTTTTATTCTTGTGTTCTCTTTACAACATACAGAGTCAAAAAGATGTTAGCGTCCTTGAATTATTATGAGCACTGAAAAAAATCTAAGAAGCTCCAGTCGTTTCAAATCAAAATGTTAATCAGAGACTATAGCTAAAACAGTTTACATCGCATATAAATCATTTTACAAGGCATGTAAATATCATTCATGTTATGTCAGGCATCTGTGTGGCTTTGCTTTAAAACAAGAAAACATTCTAACGAATCCATTTGACTGGATAAAAAACAGCGACGAGTGAAAGAGGTGCATGTGTGGATTTCAACACCACCTATTCCTGTTATGAATTTTCAGGGAAAAGTTCAAGTCTGCACTATCTGTCCTGCATATCAAGCTCGCAGATTACGATCCATCTTTGGCTCAGGGTTGGGATGGAGCACCTTTAAAAGAAAAGCTCTAGGGGGAAGAGCAGACTATCTGTAGCGATACATACAGATTTCTTTGGCAGGGCTTAACAGGCCAGATAAGTCTCTTCCTGCAAAGCTTTGCTTCCACAGCAAGCACCTTCCTCTGTGGGTTTTCTTCCCTCCCCAGCCGTGGAACGATGAATCTAAGGCTATCCTCTCTCACTCTCTGCACCACAACCTCAATTTTCTTCCATCTCCGAATAAAATTCACCCAAGAGACAGCCACACAGTACCTGCCATAACACACAAGGCCAGAAATATAACGGCATATTCTATAGAGCACTATTACATTTCTTCCCTGCTTTGGTAAACATGTTCTCCATGTGAGTACACATGTAAAAACTGTCCCAGAAAACATTATTTGCTTCACTTACTGCCATTGTTTGGAATTATAACAAATCTATTTTTTAAACACTCTGTAACACGAAACACATATACATAAAACACGGGCATTTGCGACCAGAAGAGAGCTTGCTTGAAGGATAAGTTTCTGTTTGACGTCTTGAGTGCAGGAGTGTCCCTCAGCCTGTAGGGGGCGCTGGAACGTGTTTGGCTTTCAAACCAGCAAAAAAGGAGGGAAAAACCGGGTCAGGGGCAAAGAGGAGGTGGTTGGTGATCATTTAGCACCTTTGCCATTTTGTAGCTGTGCAGTTTGGGTCGTTTCGTACCAGATGGACCCAAAAGGACCCGTCTGGTAGAGGACGGTTCATACAGGCAAATTATCACAAGACGTTTCAGACCTACTTTGACAACTGATAATTTGAAGTAATTTACTGTCAGGGTGGGCATTTATTGTATTATTTGTCATTAATCTTGATCCATTTTTTATTATGATAATAATTTGGATTTATCACCATGATAAATTCCAGTTAATGATGTTTGAAACTTTAAAATGGTTTGTTTTGTCGGGATTGTTAGCATTAATTTGTTTCCCCCCAAAGTTTATTCGCCGAAAGCCTGAATAAATATCAATAAATCTGAAAATATGATTATATGCTGTGACGAGTTGCAGTTTACTGACATAAATCTTTATGTGACTGGTGACCTAAAGAAGCATATTCCAAATAGGAATGTTTTTGAGGCATCATATGTTTGGGTTTGTATAATTGCTGTGTCACTCAAGTCACAGCCATATCTAAAAAGGGGTGTGTATTTATCTTAGCGTTAACGATACAATAAATACTGTAAAACAAATCAATAAATAGTTCTTATTGTCACTTTTGTTATAATTATATTACCACAAAAAATTGTGATAAAACTTCAAATCCATTTCGCCTACTCTGATTTTACTATAAGATTTTATGATTCCAATAAATAACATATAACAGCAAAATGTCAGTGAGAGTAATCTCAGTTCAATCAGGGTTCATAATCTGAGATATTTCATAAAAGTCTGCAGTACATTGATATAAAGGTTGAAATATGAAGTCATCTGCAAATAATAAAATACCTTATATATAAAATTCAGTGTTTTGAATTAATGCTAAACCTTGAAATGGTTTGTTTACAGGTACTAATGACAATAGGTGCAGAATCCAGGTGTTTAACTGAGACCCAGGCTTAGGGGAAAGTCTTGCCTCCGGCGTGTTTGAAGGGCAAAGGCGGGAGGGCGTTTTTCGTCAATCACTGGCAAAGATGGAGGACGGCGTGAACGAAGCGCCTGCCTCTGAGTTTGGAAAAGAGAGTAACGAAGACGCAGAAGAGGAGGACGGACGGATGAGAGTGAAGCATTGAGCTGTAGGCCTGCCAGTCAGATAAGGAGCGGCTTAAAGAGTAGATTGGATTGTGTATAGACCTTTTCAGTGGGGGAATAATGCGGCGCGGACTCAGTAGACAGCAGGACGGGGAAGAGATAAAGGGAAGCCAAAGACATTGAGGACAGAGACAGCGAAACTGGGGGAGATGATTCCCAAGATGGGGGCAGAGATGAAGTGGAGAAGGCGGAGGAGGCAGGGGGAGATGTGGTGAGAGATATCATGTTACCAGCACACACGACAATAATTAGGAGAAACGTGCGAGTGGATTAACTGGACCTAAAATAACTCGGGAGTGCACCTCTTCCTGGTAAGACTCCTGAGAGCATCCATCCGCCGGCCGCTGGAGGCCGTGACGTCATTCCAGTTCGTCAGTCACTGGCCGCTGAGCCGGCCGCGGATATTCTCTCAGGCACAAACGGGAAGGGGGAAAAAAAATCACCTCCACCTCCAACCCCCCCTTGTTGGTTGAAAAATGTGCAGCTGTTACTGTAAGCCTGTGCCGTCTTATAGAGGCCAGAAATAGCCCCCCTTCAGCCTGGGCAGGGACACAGCAACAACCTCCATTAGCTCAAATGTGAGAGGATTGAATCACCTCCGAGCTCCGGGGCTTGAACTTCTATCTGCGTCGGCTGAGAGCAGGAATCATATTTCTCTCTGGCTATCACGCTCTGTTTTTCCTCTATGTGAAGTCCAGTGTGACTTGGCAGCTCCGCTCGGTGGACGTGATTGAGTCGTAAACATTAAAGTGAAGGGGGAAGATTCCAAACACATGAGGGGTGGTCTGTCGAGTTATGTGCATAGCTAGGCCTTAAAGACTTTTACAGTTAGCCCAGTGATCGCAAACGCCGTCTTCGATGAGGCGTTGTAAAAATTATTTGACACTGTTGCACAGTGAAATACGGGGGGCTATTCTTACAGCCAATGCTGTCTTGAGAGAGTACAGATAATGGGAAAAAATGGGGGTTGCATCAGCCTGGGCAGAAAAAGAGGGAGCAGACTAGAGGAGTGGAGGCAGTCATGGAGAAGTCAGACCTTTATCTACAGGAGCAAGAAAAGAGGGGAAGGAAGAGAAAGAACAGGACAGAGTGGTTAGCATATAAATCATTCCTGTAATTTGAATTAACAAGAAAGTCCAGAAATGTATTGGAATAGGAGGAAGAAATGGGAAGGGACAGGGGTGGGTGGGAGAAAATCAGAAATCAGCGTAAGGAGAGAAAGCTGGAGTTTGACACATCGCTTCTGGAAAGAGAATAAAAAAGAGAGCAAATTGGCTTGTCCCCGCAGCCAGGGATTTGTGATGCGTATCGGACGCACTCAGAGAAAAAGCTTTTTTCAGTGGATAGGATCACAATGAAAGGAACCAGAGAGGCAAAACCCAGGGAGCAGCCTTTTTAGATTTTGTTATCAAGCCCGGGCCGTCTCGGGGTCTCGCTTCAAATGGCATATCTTATGACCTAACAAAAGCAGTCAGGGAGCCGGGCCGGTGTTAGAGATTATCGTGACATCTGGGCCCACGTACAGTAGTAGCGTCTACATTCTGTGACAAGAGCAGATATGATTTAATATATTTATTCAGAGACTCAGGTGCTGTAGTGCCGGATGTAAAGTAGGTTTGTGGTTTAACTCTCTTGTTATTTGAAGGTGAACCGTTCGGAAAGGCGGGAGAGGAGGCCCGGCGGCGCCGACCTCCTGGTCCCTGCCTCACCACTGGAACCTTCCTCCCCGTTTTGCCGGGTCAGCTCCAGCTCAATGGTCATGAGCACCCGACCAGATCCCTCTCCGCCGCCGCCTCCCCCCTCCCCCTCCGCCCCTTTGATGATGGTTTGCTGCTGCTTCTGTTTGGGTCGGACCTTCGCCGCCAGTACCTGGCGCAGGGGCTGGAGCAGCCCGCCCCAGGCCCGCCCCGTATCCTATTTCTTATCCTTGCGAGACTCCTGCTTCTTCTTTTCCGAGGCGGCCGCCTTCACCTTGGAGGGGTCAGCGGGAGGCGCGGGGCCCTGTGGGCGGAGGGGGAAGAGGGGGGGAGGAAACAAGGGGAGGAGAGTCACTTCAGGAGGAAAGGAAGGCAGCAGGAGAGGACGTGAGAGAGGTGAGAAGATGAGAGATGGAGTTAAACTGGACGGGCGGAGCTGTGTGAAGAGAGGAGAAAAACACATTTAGAGAAGAGAGAGATATAGGTGGTCGAGGTGGGGGGTGGGGGAGACGCAGTCCTTTTAGGGGAGGGGGTAGCAAGTGAGAGGGGGCGGAGTCCAGAGCTGTAAGGGGGTGACAAAACAGGTAACCATGCGTTAGGATGGGACACAGTGGCGGACAGACTCCATACACCTGTGACAACTGAGTGACATTTGATCAATAACACACAATCATCTCCCCCCACACACACAGCCAGAGTGGGTTTTCACAGCCAAGTCATCAAAAAGTTGACTTTGAATCTCAGAAATGTAGGGATTAAATCCAAGGAGATTTTTTTAAATGCGTTGGAGAGCAGCTGGATTCTTCCAATCATGTTTCTGGCTGCAGACGATTGTTTCCAATCTAACATCAGGTCCCAAAACACCAATTTTAATAGACGTTAGGATGCATTGAAATTGGTTTATTTCAGAAAACTGCAATGGAAACACTTCCACGAGGACATGAGTATGATGGCTGATCTTACTGCTGGTGCAAACCAAGAAGAAGATGACAGGAAGTAGTTAGAGGATGATGGCGGGGCAAGTTTTTTGACTTTTTCATGTGAGATTTGACTCCATCTCCATTTTTAATTTAAACAATACTGGGGTTAGATCCCGATAAAGATCATGCAATCATGTTTACGTCTAGACCAATTTATTTCTAACCAATTAGCATCTTTCTTTTGGATTCCTGTTTTTAAAACAATCACCATCAGTAATATCAAGAGAGTATGTTTTTATTATTTTTAAAAAAGGGCAAAGAATAGAAGAGAAAGGATGTTTTCAATTTCCTAAAACAAGATTCATCTGCTTGGCTGATTGAGAGATTCAACCAATTATCTGCCATGTTTTCACTTATTTTCTTTTCTTTAAATTGCTTGCACTTCGTCAAACGTCTTAGACATCCCAGATGGTTGAATGTGTAAAACCATCTGCTTCCTCTGATTGGGGGAATATAAATCTCCAGTGTGCAGGAACATGTTTACAAATGTCTGAATTTCCATTGCCTTTGGTCTTCTGTTGTTTATGGTGAATATTTCAATGTGTAATTTGGATTCAAAAGTCTGAGCGACTGTAGCAGACAGTAGCGCTATGTTGCTGGACACTTTAACACTACATTTTAAAGTTAAAAGTTTATTTTCTATTCTTAAATTCAGAGTGAAGCAATTAAGATGCTGTTCTGTAAATAAATGATTAGCCAAGTACGTTTATTGGCATCCCTAGAAAGATGTGCAAAAATCCTTGCACATCCTGACAACTGTAGAAAAACAACTTTAATCAGTGGGTGAGAAACCCCATCTTCAATATATATATATATATATATATATATATATATACATTTTTTTTCTTTTTTTCTAACAAAATAATGGAAGAATTATGGATACTCACAACAATTCCTGTAAAAATACATTTTACTGAATGTCATTTCTGACATTTTATACTGTAGAGTAATCAAAATTAGTGATGCCAATCAGGTTTTTTGTTTAGAATATTTGGAATTGTATATAAGAAAAAAGCTACTCATTCATATTTGCCCATAAGTGTTTAAAAAACGAGAAGCGTGCAAAGAAAAGTTGCAATTATTTTGACACCAAAAACAATGATGATGGTTAGGAAGCATAAAAAACCCCACAAAACCATCAAGTCTCCATAACAAAACATGTTAACTGTTAGATTCCAGAAAAAGTAAATGTGGAGTTCATTACACTCTTTTCATACACTGGATTTTATAATTTTAAGTTTTTTTTTTACATCTTTACTTCAATAAATGCCACCAGTTCAAGTTAGAATCAAAGAAGAAATGTAGATTATTCTGAGTAAGTCTGTTTACTATTATTGAACATTCCTGTTATTCTAAATCCAGATTTTGGTTTCACTTACGAAATGTTTACATGGAACGTAAAAACTCCTGGTTATCCAGACACGACTAGAAATCCCAGTATTAATTTATCTCAACTTCTCAGACACATATTTTAAGTTTTAATGTTCCAAAAGCATTTTTAATAACTGATTCCAGTTCTGAGAACCCAGGATATTACTGGACACTGTCGAATATAAACTGGTTTCTCATTCTTTAGTGGAAGTTAGCATAATTTACATCGTGATGATGATCACTTGAACACAATGACGGATACTTGATCTTAAGTCATCCATTATTTCTTTGTCTTTGCCTCACAAGAAACCAGATTTCACAAGTGGATTTGGTCGAGTTTTGATAAAGTTTATTTAGACCTGAAATTTCTTGTGTCATGTGCATGTTCACTTTAAACACTTTGCTAAAGCCACACTGCACAATTTTCTGGAAATGTAGTTGAGAATGAATGAAAAATCCCCCAAAGTAGAGACAAAAAGGCCCTCAGAAAGCTGGGAGAACTTTTAATAAGGGTTACTAAAGTGGAGTACAGGATAGTGCGGCTCTTTGAAAGCTAAATGAGTATATACATTAAGGATGCACAGATGCATAGATGCATGCATTTTTAATGCATATATGCTGTAGAATGAAATATCAAGTGTTTTATATTCTATGTAAACACCATATCTGGAATTTGATTCAAACTTGGACAGGACTCCAACCAGCATTCTGACTGTCTCTTCATATTCAGATCAAAGTTGGAGGGAAAAAAAGAAACTGCAGTATATTTGATCAGGGAACCATTTGCTTACTCAGCTTTGCATTGATTTCTGTTGTTCTTCCAAACCCATATTATCTTTAAATATTAATGGGACCTTTACTTTTGTAATACCACAATTCACTCCCACTCGCTCCGCAAATTGTCTGTGCAATATATGAGCGTTGTCTGAAACCATCTGCAGGAAAAGAAAATCTATAAAAGGAAGAGGCAGAAGGTGGAAAACTCAAACGCTGCGTCGCTTCAGCACAACAAATCCATCAGGAAGGACTGAACCAGGAGGAGATAAGGTCAGGGCTACACTTAACCTCACAATAGTTGTATTCCAGTGCATTAACCTGTCAGTTAACCTATTGAAAAGTATCACAAGTGTGCAATAATGCTCTAATGGAGCTTAATGAAACTTCACACGCGTGTAATAGTTTTACAGTGTTGTGCTTCTTTAGATGCTCTTCCACAGGTTGAACTGTGGGCCGCTCCATTGTTGTGTTTGCAGAGTAAACAGAGTGAATAGGAATGGATCTGAAGCTCAGAGACTGAAATAATTTGGCTCTAATACATCAGCTTAGTCAACGGTGGAAAGCCCACTTGAGGCTGTTTCCACCCACTGAAGCTTCAACTAATAATACCCCACTGATTGCATTACAGAATTTATCATTTTTAATTATCCGCCCTGCAAAGGCAGCACACGATTGAAGGCGCCTGCTGCAGCAGACACCCAGCTCAGCGGGGGAGCGGCGCAGGCCCAGCCGGTTTCATTATCTCCGATTATACTTACATTCTCTCATACATCACTGCATTGTTTACCGTTATGCTTCCTGCAACAGGCTCCAGCATTTTATTCTGCAGAGCTCCCACACTAACGACGGGCCTGCTTTGTAAAGACACACCCCAGGCTGCAGAATGCAGCACCACCTTGGTTACAGGGTGGGGGGGGGGAGGCGGAGAGCGCACTTCAAAGGAAACGTAAGGTACAGTGGAGAAATACGGAGAGGACGGCGGCATGGGAGGGAAAAGTGGCTGCATCCCCTGCTGCATGCTAAAGAGAGAGGAGGTGACAGGTGAGGAGGGAGATTGAGAGGTAGATGAGGAGTGAGAGGTAGTGATTTCCTGTCCGGCAGGAAAGTGGATCAGAACCCCGAGGACCTGAAGGAGGGAGGAAGGGAGAGAACTGGAGAGGGAGGAGGATCGAGAAGGAAATTGAAGAGGAATCAACAGAGTGATGGGGGGGAATTAGCTTACAGATAGACGGATGCTTCCCATGGTCAGCAAGGAAGCCAAAGGAAAGGAAGACAGGAGGAGTGGATGAAAGGAATCTGAATGAGAGAAAGAGAGTGCTGGTGGGAGTGAACTGAAGAGGTAGGCAATAGGGAGACGGAGAGAGAAGAATGGGTGGGTTATATATGAGCGTGTGTGTGTGTGTGTGTGTGTGTGTGTGTGTGTGTGTGTTTGAGCTCAGATCGATACTAAGTGCACTCAATTATCATTCCAGAACAGTGTGTGTGCTTATTGTAGGGAACTTTTCCCTGAGTGGGGCTGCAGGAGTACAGTCTTCTTCCACAACACCCTCTAATGGGGGGAGCGTGACGGCACGCCCCACCCAGCTCCACAATCCCGTTTCCACTTCCTCACACAGCGTCTGGGTTTGTAGCGCAAGCAGCGCAAACCGTTAAAGCTGCAGAACGCAACTTTTATTAAAAATTTTTTTTTTTTTTTTAGATATTTGATGAAACTGTCACAATGTCGTGATAATCTATGAAAAAAATGTAGCTCTCAGTGCTAACTAGAAACAACCAATCGGAACCAGGAGGCGGGTCTTAGCGCTGTCAATCACAATCTCCTGTGGCTCATCTTCCCCTTTTCTCTCTGCTACGCTGCAGTTAGCATAGCCTGTTGTCATGGTTACCATGACCTCTGTTGACGGCGGGCAAACGATTTTCCTGGAAAGGCAAGTTGTTTCTCTGCCATTAGCACATTTAACAGCAAGTATGTGACACTGATTGACAGCGCTAAGACCCTCCTCCTGGTTCTGACTGGTTGGTTTTGGTCGGGATCGGTGCATCTTTCAGACAGCAATAGCAGCTCAGAGACGAGGTGGACGAGATTGATCCTTTCATAGATTATCTGCCTCATAGCAAACTGTCACAACATGGTGAAAGTTTTAACAAACCTAGAAAAAATATATTCTTTATACAAGTTACATACTGCAGCTTTAAACAAAGACAGTAAGGTTGATAAAATAATAATAATAAAGAAACTTGAGTGTCAGCAGCGCCTCCTAATCAGGACTATCTGATCAAACAGTCGTTTATAAGCGGGCCATAAAATCCCAACGGTCTGACTGCGTGTGGCGTAGCAACAAAAACCAAATCATCTCAGAGGAGGAGGGGTGGAGGGGAAATAAATAAACTGAAATATAAAGCAGAGCGAGCTCAGATAGAATATCTGCTTTTGCTCTGTGTTTGTCATCTGAGCACAGGCTTGCAGGAGAGTAACTGTAAATGACAGCGTTGTCAAATATCCCAGTGTCCTCTTGGCGGCGAGTTATTTATTCATATATGCACTGTCACACGCTGCAGGCACTTGAGAGCAACTCAAGAAAAACCTGACAATCACACGACAGTAGAAAGGAGAGCGGAAGACAGGGGGGAGAAAGAGGGGCTCCGCAGAGATGAGGGAACTTGTTTAAGGAAGGATGGAGAGCTGTGGGCCCTCAACATTCCTGCTATATGGCTGCAAAGAGACGCAAGCGTGTAGCAGCTTTTACTATTAAGACATGATCTTCAAAGCAAATATTAAGTGTTCATCATGTGTCTGGCTTTATACTGACTACTGATTATCACTATGTTCAAGAAACTACATTTAAAAAAAACAGGAGAACATTATTCCTGTAAGTTTAGTTTGCCAGTAATTAACTGGAACTACTCTTGAAATATGTTATGAACTGAATTATTTGCAAAAACAGATGGAAACATGCTAACATTAGCTTAGCATGTCAGAAAGCTGCTCCACTTTAAGAATGACAACAATAATCAGTTTGTTCATGGTTTGTTTGGCTGTTTTATTCGAAAAAAAGACTGAATTTACTTCTTCGAAAACAAACTTCCCAGTGTGCTTTTCGTCACATCACATGTAGCACGAGGCAGGGAATTCCTGCTACAGGTCAGAGCCATTGACCTGCAACTTTTAAATGCATTCCTGTTTCTGAATCAAATGAACAGATCATTATCAGAACTCCATGACAAGCTGAAATCATTTTTATAAAGTTTCAGGCTTGTACTCTGTTTGAATTCCCATACCTATTAGAAAAATTTATTTAAAAAAATCCCTATACCAAACCTAACTTTCCCAGAACACACTTAAATAAGTTCCTCATTTTACTTGTAGCAATAATATTTTAGATTACTTTCATTTCCTGATTAGTAATGTCATTCAGTCTCTCTGAGGAAAGCTATTAGTGCTATCTAAAAAGAGTAATTAGAGATAGGTGTGTGGTTTGATTATATGTTACAATGTGTTGCCATACTCCCGCCTTGATCTACCTGCGGCTAAATGACAAAGCTGTCACAGCAGCACCTCTGATTTCCCGACTCGGGTATCTGCGCGCGTCTCCATTTTCAAAGCTGAGTTTTAATTGACAAAAATGCCTTGAACTCAAATCCCTTGACGTACTTTTCTCCCCCCCTCATTATCAGCACACTGCTTCCAGTCGATTACAATACTCCCACGCAACCCTGCAGCCCACCACATCACCGCAGAGTAATCAAACACAACTTGCCCTGGTGGCTTGTTTTCACAAAAGCATACAAGCCACAAAAAAAAAAAAATGTCTGATTAATCCACCTCTTGAGGCGATCGAACTCCCACAAGGGAGAGAAGGGGACAAAAAAAAAACATAGCTGTTACGTAGCAGCTGCGTAAAAACACTGATAACAGCCCGGACCATAATAGGCCCAGTGATTTTTTTATTTGACTCCCAGTGAGCGAAATCAGCAGCTCCTGTCTGTCTCCCCACTGCGAGCAAATCACAGCTCTATTCAGTCCGCAGCGCCGGCATTAGTCCTCGTAACCCAGACTGGGTCATTTCACAGCCGCTGCTTTGATTCTTTGGCCCAGGGCTGTTTGGGACCCCCCCCACAAACCGGAGGGAAATGAAGGAAAGGGCGAGGGCCACAGGATAGAAAGGCAGGTTGAACGCTGAGGCAGCAAGAGGATTTTACCAGCTGAATGCGGTTATTAGAGCTGGAGGGGGCGCAGGGTTTGAATGGCCCGTTATTTTGTTGTTGTAACGTTGCTGTGCTGAGGATGAGGCCAAACTGGAGATGCCTGGACTGCCATTAGGGAGAATGCGATTATAACAGAGTGCTGCTATGCACCGTCATGTCAGCTGCGCCGCCATACAGAGGAGATGAATATTCCCTTTGACAACACGCTTCCTCATCCCAAATTCTCTCAACAATCGCCGAATGCTGTTGTAATCTCTCCAAATCGTCATGTGATGATGACAGCGAGCCAATCTGTTGCGTTTGTCGTTGCAGACGGGATGCATGTGTGGGAGCGGAGGGAGGAGGGGAGGAGGATACCGAAGGAGAGGGAGGAGGAAGAGGAAGAGGAGGAAACTTGCCTGTCTCTGCTGTGATCCCTCTTTCTTTTTCTTGCCATGTTTGCTGGAGGGGACAAAAGAAAGACAATGTCAGGATGTCGAATCTATCTCTCCCTCCAGTGGTCACAGGGCAGCACTGCCTGCCAGCTATCATAAAGAGACCATCATCTTAATCTACTGGCCTGTCTCAGACACAGCCCCCAGGTGCCAGATGTGTTACGATGGGAAGGGAATTTGCAATCCGATGGATCCATCATCGTCATGATCTTGTGGATTATCCACTCAGAAAATGTCGCCTCACAACTTTTAATCCTCCTACTTTGGACCTATGCTTGCTGTTTTGCAGATTAAATCGAATTGAAAGCTTATCAACTTCCAGTTTCAAAGCTTCAAAAAAACAAAACAACAAAAAAAAAATACAAAGTAAGGTTGAATCCCATTTTCTAAGGTTATCCGGATTCCTGCCACTTGTAGAAAACAAACAAAAGTTTGTTAAGGAAGAATAGAAATATGGTACTAAAGGTACCACAGCTAAAAGCAGAAATACTTGAATTTATGAAAAGGGTTTTTTTATTTAGATAATGCATCCCTAGACTGATAGCCAAAGATCTTATAAAGTGTATAGTTGTACATGCAATGCAGTAGACTTTAAGCTTCTGCACTGCATGTCTAAACATAAGAAAATGACAGGAATTGTGTGTAATATCGAGCCCTTGAAGCGAAGTGTGATGGGGTGTTAAGATAAAAATGTTAAGACCTGCTTGAGGCACTAAATTAGTTAAATCATCTTTGTACATTGTAGATTTATTTTCACCAATGTCAGAATACATCTAGAGAGTCATTACACTGTTTTTTTCTTGTTGCAAAAGATTTCAACCAGCGATGTTCAGCTATTTAGTCAATTTCTTGCCTATTTGGAATCAAACATAACTAAATTAATTACTATGCATCAAACAGTTCATCCGATTTAAATGCAAATGCAGATATTACACATTTGTTTTAAAATGCGCCCCTGAAAAAACAACGTTTTTAAGTCCTTATCTGGTCCAAAGAAACATCTTAGACTACATAGCCCCAGTATGCCAGGCACAGGGGGAAATGGGACTCAGCCTTGCTCAAAGGGCCTTGGCCAGACATGTGTCGGTGCCAGGAATGGGCTCCAGCCTCTGCTCCCGCCCCCTGCAGAGACCCCACAGGCTGGGCACTGACCTGACATTAAGGCTGAAGACGCGACGCGCCACCAGGAACCTCATTAGGTAGTAGATGACCACAATCAGCACCAGCAGGCCCAGCACCACACCGATGATGGCCCCCGTGATCACACCCGCTTGGATGGGCACTAAGACGAGAGGAGAGGAGGCAGAAGACGGGATAGAAGGACAGAGAGAACCAGATCAATACAGATAATATGTGAATAATCAGAGGGAGATATGGATTGGAAATGAAGGAGTTAGGATGAAAAGGAGGAGGAACAAAGTAACATATTACATTAGAACAGAGGAAGAAAGGCTGACTAAAAGATGAAAACATTTAAATTCAGCGAAGGTAAAAGAAAAAGGGATAGAAGGAGAGAGAGAATATGGTGAAGATGGGAAAATTGGAGAAAGTGAGAATGAGGCTGACAGCAGCCTAAAATAAAGATTGAGATAAAATTGTAATCGATTTCATTTAATGGTGCGACAACTTCTCTGATAAATATTCACTTGCTTTCACTGAGATCAATTTCAAAGTTTGGGACGATTACACAGATCTAAAAATATTTGCTTTCCAATAGGACAAAAATTACTGGGAGATATAAGACGAAATAAGCTCTTCAAAAGTTTCCACAGAGGACTTGATTCCTTTCACAACTCGGTTTTGTTACAACCACAAACTTCAACATATTCAATTATGATTTTAGGTGATAGACCACGAGTTAACCCTAAAGGCCCGGGGGCCAAATCTGGCCCGCCACAGCTTCTTATGTGGCCCTCTAAACTGCAGAGGGACACAGTGAGCCTTCAAGATGATACTGGATTTTTTAAATACGATTTTATCAATCAAATCAAAGCAGTTTTTATTTGCAAACTCCCAAATTACATCAGTAAGTCACTCCAGTTTTTCACAATTCCACAAACATATAAATTCCTGCAAAATAAAAAAAAATACTTAACTAATGCAGAGACATCAGTTTATTAATATTTTTATAGTTTGTTAATGGGTTTTATCAATACATTTTCAAACCGTCCCTTTAAGAAGATTCATGATCTTGATGTGATCCAAAATGAAAATGACCTTTATACGCCTGATAAACCCAAAACAAAGTTTAAGGATTTAGCTCTGAACTTTATCTGTACCATCTTCATAAACATCATTCGATCTAACATGTCCCTTAGGAACAGACAAGAGTTTGTGGTTGTGATGTGATCAATTTGCAGGGCACTGTGCTGGGATCAAAGCAGCTAACTCACAGGTCTCAAAGACCAGCAGCCGGACGCTGGAGGGGCGCCCCACGATGTCAGGGGGGTTCTTGGCGTCGCAGGTGAAGGTGCCGTTGTCGCTGAAATCCAAATTTTTGATCAGGATGGAGCCGTCACGACGCTTCGGGTTCCCCACGAACTCCACCCTGTCCTTGAACGCGCCTTTGTTGTCAGTGTAGGCCTCACCACCGGCGTAGTGGGCGATCTGGGGACGACAGAGGAGGAAACACTGACCAATGGCACTCAAGAGTACCTGATGGATCTGGATCTCTGGAGTGGAAGTAATCAGGAATCATTCTATGCTACTCTGATTGAGTTTGCAGTTTGTTTATTTTTTTTTAAATACATTTAAAAGCTCCAGATTTAAACCTTCAGATAATGGATATTCAGGCCTGCTGCAAAATCTTAACAAGTTCAGCATGCATTAAAATGTGAGATTAACTATTTATAATTTAAAGTTTTATCAAAATTCAGCACTTAAAAATGTACACCTCACCCAAAAACATGATGCATTTTCGTCAAAAGGTGTAGCTTTTGAGTGATTTAAAATTATTTTATTTTTGATGTTAATTGTTAAATACTGAAAGATGATCATTGTCTCCCGATATTTCCAATATTTCTGACTAATGGAAAAGATTTGTGATCCAAACTATTGGTAAGAAAATGTTATTAAAATGAAGCTAAGGAAAAATAGATCTTACAAAATTCCAAATAGAAAAATATTAAGTATCAAAAAAGTTTGTTCATTTGTAAAGAACCACTTTGGGCATCAGGTATAAAAGTACAGTCACGTTATTCAATAAATGTGTTTCGATGTGTCAGATTGACAGTACCTTTTGAAAAGTGACAATCTTAAACTGTTATTAATCATACTTTTCAAGCTACATGACTATATTGGGGTTTTTTTTATGTCTGATGTAATATTGTAATTTTAAATGCCATGTTTTCATAAGTGGAAAATCATAAAGGCTTTCAAAGATCCATCTATGTGTAGAAATCTACATATTGTGTTTCGCATACTGATAACGTTCCTCAAATAAACGGACTTTTCAATAATATTCTAATTTATTAAATGGGTCAGCATGAGCCATTGGTATTAGGAAATATCCAGGATTTAACCATAGATATAATATTGAGATTTATTATGTTTATGGTTTAAACATTTAAGCCTCACATTCCCACCCCCCACACCCCCAACACACACACACACACACCCACACACACACACACGTTAGAGTGTGTGCATGTGAATTAGAGAAATTCCTGTAATGACCAAAATTTTAACACAGACAGTGCAACCCTTCCTCCACCCGTTGATGTGCACTGCTAGCGAGCTGGCTGAAAAAAGGACATAAGTTTCAGTCAGTGAACATCACTGGCAGTAGAAAATATTCACTCTTATTAAGATAAATCTATTAAAACTGCAGCTGACAATCAGAGTTTATTTAGCAGGCGACTGTAACCTTTACTCAAGAAGCTAAGCAATTAAATGTTGCTATCTGCTAATAGCAGCTTGTTTTATTTATGTTACTCTATTAAAAGAGGAACAGCATAAAGGAACAATTATCTTGTGAAAACAACCTCAAACATTCAGTTTATTTGCTGAAATCTAGCAAAATCAAAAATATCTTAAAGATCTGTTGTAGCTTAGAACATTGTTTCGTTACTGCGAATACAGTGGACTGTTGGTTGGTTATGAACCACAGCCACCTACAACTTTTTAATATCTGCGAATACTTGAGACCCCTCTAAAAACATTCAAGACTGCCTGTTTGTAATAGTTCGTACATCAAATATACCTTAAGAAGAATTAAAACATACTGGAATCATGTTAGCCCCATTAGCAGAAGCTAACAGCTATGATCTTTCTTATTTCTGCTCTTCGGGGTTCAGCCAATCGGCAGCGGCAAGGAAAATAATGGCGCTCCTGGATTGGCTGATTTACAAATGCCAGCCAATAGCGTGTCGAGTAGCATTGTGCCGAGGTGTTAGAATTTCTGACACTGTATTTTCTTTCAAATATTTTACATATACTTTATGGAAAAATGTATGGTGGATTTTCTGCAGTTAATTTAGAATCACACCTCCCATTAAACTGCGAATAGGTGGTTCACTGTAATCAATATTACACTCGTATTAAGAGTAGTGGGATTGATGATTGCTTTTTAGTTTTAAATAAACAAATAATTGGAATACAGAACACATTTCTGTTTAAATTTTTGTGTAGATGTCTAGTAGTTTTGTTTGGTTTAACATTTTTCGCACATGCTCGTTTCAACAAAACTTAAACAAAATCTCTGGTTGAAAAACCAAAAACAGAACTGTTTATTGGGAACTTGGTTTTCCTTTCCATTTTAGTTCCCAATATTTGTAGAATCATTCCTGGACTTAAGGTCAATCTGGTGTTAAACGTCCAGGCTATTGTGATTGACATAAATGTCTCTAAAAATCAATTACCACACTTTGAAAAGACAAACACAGCATGGAAAAAGAAAGATTTGCGAAACAGGTAATCTTTCAAGGTGGGGAAAGAAATGAGTGACTGAAGATAGGATGGTAAATAAAATGAAAACTCAGTTTCAAAGTGAAGACTCTGCAGGGGGGGACAGATGAAGGCGAAGGAGGAGAAGGGAGGACGTAATGAGAGAGGACAGAGGGACAAAGACTGCAGGGCTGGAGAGGAGGAGATTAGGTGAGGTGGACAGAGGGAGGCATGGTCAGGATGGGGAGATAGAGAGATTAGAGAGATAGAGCGATAACAGCAGGGAGAGTGAAATTAAACTACAGCAGGCTGCTGCAGGAGACGCAAAAAGTTTCTTCAACGCATGATGGAGAAAATCAAACTCTCAGCTCTCTGTTTTTATTTTAAAATCCTTGAAGAAAGAGCCCTTAAGAAAAACTCGACATTTTTTGCTCCTCTTTGTGCCTGGCAGAGGCACACAAAACAAAACAGAGCTTTGACAGAAAATGCAATCATTGTTTGCAAGTCTAGATGCCTGTTAATAGTTCTCATTGTGACCAAAATTTGGCCTCAAGTGGTGAGTAGGAAACACACAAGGCTCTTATTTAAGCAGAAAAGAGAAAATGGGAGCACAGGCTCTTTTAGCGGCTCTCTATAAGAGGTGTTTTCAGCCCAGTAAATGCTCTGTTATTTCGCAAATTGTTGCCATCTTTTGTTTGTCTGCCGTTGGCTCGTGGACATGTAGTGCACAGTGATTTATCGGAGCTTCTTTGCTGAAACAGCTGCAGCCATAAACAGCTCTGATGAGGATGGAGAGAGCAACTCTCACATCAATGTTTCAAGAAGTTTAAAGAGTTTCTGTTGAGAGAGTTTTCAGCATGATTTTTCTTCTTTTTTTTAAACTCCTACAAGCACACCTGTGCAGCAGCAGCTGTGGGTTTTGTGTAACATCATGTGTGTAAACGTAAATGTTTGCATTACAGAGATGCTGTCCCGCGAGCCGTCTGGTCTGTATCTCCAGGTGAAGGAAACATCCTCGGAAACAAAGCGCCAGGAGAAGAAGGAGCAGGACAGCCTGATGTCTGAGCCCACCAGGGCGTGGCGCTCCCAGCTGGTGTAAACAGTAATGGCCTGGGATGCCTGGGGTGCTGCAAGACACAAAGAAGATGCAAAAATGTATTCTTTCTTATCAAATCAAAAGGGAATCTATTATTAAAAACATCTTATTTTACACACTTTTATACTTCCATTTCGGTTTCTGAAAACTACTCAAGTGCTTTAGAAAACACAAATCCATTTTTGACAATTAGTTCATGTTTTTTAGATTCAATGGACACCTCGTTACCTAGCAACCCAAATGGAACTCAAGTGCGATTCATCAGCTGGTTTTACAGGTGTTTGTGCTGCACAATGGCTGCTGAAAAAGACAAGTGTCAAACTGATGGCTTACTATTTAGAAACCACTTGCTGCATTCTTGCTGGGTGTGCAGGAGACTCTACTTCTGCTTATCAAATATGTATGGTTGTATATTTCCATATCTGTTTGCGGCCATTGTCACATGTGAGTCTAAGCTTTGAGTTGGGGGCGTGGCCAGCAGCACTTTATTCGGATTTAAAGTGACAAGACGCCCTAAAACAGTTTGTTCTGAAATAAATTCAAACCAAGCAGAACTGACCAGATTAAAATCTCATTATCAAAGAATGATTTTGTGCAAAAAATGTAAATAAGATGTTATGCATAGGTCATAGACACATCCTAACTTGTTGAAGGAAGCATAATGTGTCACCTTTAAGAAAAAAATTTTAAAAATCTGTTTTACCAGAGATGTCTACGCAAACAGAAAATTGGGGGTTTTTTTGGCTGTTTTTGGTTAATTTTACCAATTACATTGAACCACATTCATTAGAAGGATCTTAAATCGATATTGTGATTCATAAATAATTAAATTTGCACTCAGATTGACTAACTGTACTTTTAGTGGTGCCTCCATTGATTCACACAAGTAACTGCTGAAATAAGGTTTGAGTTTGTAAAAGTCAAGGGCGACGATAATTTTCCACATTAATTTGGGTAATGTTGGCTTAACTGTCTGCACTGCTTATGCTTGAATAACATTTAATAATCAATGCTAGTTTGGTTTTAGCTGAAAAAAAAAAAAAAAAAGCAAATACTGAATTTCCTAGACAAACACTTCACTCAGCATCTCAAACAACTTGCAAAACTTCCAGCCAAGTGTGCCGCTCAACAGCGTTCACGTCTACATGTGGATGATCCTCTGCAGGTCACAGCATCCTCACAGCCGCAGTATATAAGCTCTGAAGTCACACAGAGCGTTCTGCCTGTTTCAACACCCACAGAGTAAAGTTCACAGCTTTCGCTGCGAGCGTCCTCCAGCGAGATAAAAAAGCCCCCGCACTGCTTGTCAATGAAATCAGACTTGACATTTTTAATTAAAATTCTGACAAAAAACATATATGTCTACAAATAGCTGACAGGAAGGAGTCGGGTGGGGAGGAGGGTTGTGTTTGACAGCCAAACCGCAGTTTAAAAGTCATAATATTAGTACACCGTTACTTTTCAAACCAGGAGACACCTGCTATGGCGAAGTAACACAGATGGATGATGCTAGCTAATTTACTGCACTGTAGTGCATGTAAAAATGATCAGATAGGCATGTTTATTAGCATGGTACCTTTCACAACACCAGCTAGATTAAAGGGCTTTTAGGAAACAGATGTAAAGAAAAATATATTAAAATAAAGATTGAAAATATACTTACAGAAAAAGGTATCACATCAAAAAACAGTAAAATGCAAAAAAAAAATAAAAAATAAATAAAAAATACAACAAATGAAGACAACTCAAAATGAATTCATGTAATTTGACATTTATAGGAAAGATGCAGGAAACAGCAATGTTTTCAGTCTTCGTATGAAGGAGCCAACAGTTTTTTTGCATTAAAATTTTTCTATAGCGTAGAAACTAAAGACTGTTTCCATTTGTTAAGTTTGGTACTTGGAGCACTAAGTGAAGAGGTCTTTAATAACCTGAGGGGTCTAGATGGATTATTTTTGCAGAGGCAACTCTGAGACGTATGTGTGTGTATATATATATATATATATATATATATATATATATATATATTCTGCAAGCCAGTGCAGAGATGTAAGGACGGGTGGTATACATCCCATTTCCTTAGTGTTGATCATCAACATAATCTTCTGAAAATGTAAGCTTTCACCAACTTTTCTGTTTTAACAGGAAAGCTTTTGTCCTGGTCGTGTATTTAAGCTGGCAGATAGCTGATATATTGATAGACTAATTAATTAGACTAATTTGATGGTAAAATTTAGCTCAGAGCCCAAAACAAACAACACCCATGTTTCTTTCATTCTCTTTCATTTTTAGAAAGAAAAGTTAAAAACTAAAGTGTTTGTCTTTAAACTTGCATTTTTGGACCAAGAACAATAACTTCTAGAGTTTTTTTCTGCATTAAGATAATAATGCATCTCCTTCATAATTCACTAATTGGGTGACTAAAGAACAGTGGTCATGTGGTGACACTGAATAATTAGGTTTAGTGCCTTTAACATATGGTAGTGATACTTTTTCAAACTCTTTACAACCTAAGATAGCAAGATTACGTAGATATTTAATAAAAAAGTGGGCTGAGAATGGAGCCTAGTGGAACGCCATTTGCTATTCTTGTGCATTTTTCCTCAGATTTGTGACTTTCAAATGAGACAAAGTATGGAATAAGGCTATCAAGGAAAATTTTGACCAGTTGAGCTCAGTACTTAGCCAGTCCCACCCACTATTACATTCTAGCAATCAGTTTGCTATGATTAACTCTGTGGAGATTTTAGTGAACCGCAGTTCAAATCAATGCACCACAATTCCAGAAAGCAACTGGAATGCCTCGGTGAAGTACTAATTCAGTGCAAAGACAGGTTTAATTCAATGCTAAGGCATTTATTCTCCCCTTATTTCCATCAGGTTCATTAGTTTTCAAGAAAGCAATCAAGAGAAAAGCTTCTCCCATTTAACCTTTGACCTCAGAACAATTGGAAAATAATTTCAACACCTTCGCTTTTAACAGGTGAAATTCAGGGCAGGCCTTTTAGTCAACTCATCAAAATAAAATTAGAAAAAGTGAAAAGATTTAGTTTTTCTTTTATTACCTATTCCCAGGAGGACCACTGACGCCAGCGCCAAAACTCTCAGCATGGTTTTCTGGCTTCTGTTGGAGCTCCCCCCCAAAACAACGGATGGACGCTGCGAACCTGACAGGACTCTGCCGAGGAAGAGTCCCAACTCCACCGGGAGCGTGAGTGGAAGGAGGAGAAGGGAAAAACCAGAAAAAAAGGAGAGTGGATGAAGGGAAGCAGGACGCCAGGAGAGACAGGACAACAACAGAAACCCCACTGTCCCCTGGTTTATACCCAACCACACCCCTCATCCCAGGCCCGGCCCGGCCCATTCCCCCTCCCTTCCATCCTCCGTCGCTCTGCGTTTTCCTCCCTGGAACAAATTAACACACATTATCCGTTGAAGTGGGAGAAAAAAAGGTACCTGCGCCGTACAGTGGCTGAATTAATTGTGTGAACAATGGGCGACTTGGGGCGAATTTGCAAACTCTGAGCAGCGTTTCAGCATGATGGATGCAACATGTTAAATTAAACCCTCGTCATCCTATGATTGAGTGCTGATTAACACTTGGAGTGTAGGTGAGAGGGAAGCACGGCCATCTGCAGTCGATCTGGGTTGCTCATGATTAAACGTCACTAAGGGAATAATGGGAAGTTTGGTTTCTGTTTACTGGGAGGATGAAGGAGATCCTCCGACGGGGTCAGTCTAGTGCTCTCTCCTCCATCTCCATGTCTCACCCGTTTCTCCTCTGCATGCACTTTGACCGGGTCTGAGGCCAGCCGGCCAAACAAAGCCGCGACTCTTAGCTAGCTGTCCTCCCTCTCTTCAGATTCTCGTCCTTCGCTGGCGTCTAGCACTCAGAGACAATGGGGCCTGAGGGGGACAGGGGCTGACTCGTGTTTGCCTGTCTGTCAATGGCGCTTTTTCATCCAGTTTTCTCTTTCTCTTCAGCCTCCTCCTGCTCAGACAAAGCCGCTTATTCAGATTGCAGTGCCCACTCCCCACTTTTCCAGTAATGCAGACAGAGAAGAAGAGCCCTGCTATATATAGAGGGGTTGATATGAGGACAGGACACAAAGATGGGAGAGAGATTTCAGTTTACATTTTTACTTATTAAAGTGATCGGATGTGGTCTCAGCCAGTTTTTACTTGGGATAATTGGTGGGTTGCCACTTTGATTCCTGCTCTGTCTGCCTCTATCAAGACACTTCACCCGCCTTGCCTGCTGGTGTTGGACAGAGGGCCTGGAGCCCCAGGGCAGCTGTGGCTACTATGGCATATTAGGGCCATAGTAGATAGAAAAACCGACTAAATTTGCCAGAAGAAACTCTGAAATTTTGAATTTAATTTTAAAAAAATTCTAGAAAATTGTGGGAATTTCTGAGCTCCATAAGCAGAAAATTTGAAATTAATATCAGAAATTTTCTAGAAAATTATGGAAATTTCTGAGTTTGAAAAGTCAAAAATTTCTTTTTTTCTAGAAAATTTCTAATAATTGAAAAATTTTTGAGTTTTTTGGTGCAAATTTACTCCATTTTTTCCACCTAAACTTAATACACCATTTGAAAGGCTGTGAATGTGTGCATGAATAGGTGAATGTATGTAGTGCTTTGACAAAGCACAATACAAGTTCATATCCTTTACCACTTTACCTGCAGTGAGCCATTAGTTTTGTCTCTGGAGCGAACATGTTAACAATCCCAAGGTGGAAAGACCCCATCAGTGACCGCTGAGGCTTAGAAGTTGACGCCTGTCAACCTGGGAGGGACTTTAAGGCCATTTTCCAAATAAACTGAGTCCATTTCTCTACAGAAAGAAAAATTATTCGCAGGTGGAAAACATTTAAGTCAGCTGCCAATCTTCTTAGTCATTGACATTGCCGCAAATTCCCCTCAAGGTCAGAACATAAATGTTCAGAGAAATTGTAAAAGCCCCAAGAGTTTCCACTCCGACTCCACGGCACTCCGACAGAATGTAAATGTTAAAGTTTGTCTTATAAGAAAAATAGAAAAAGAATAGTTGCAGGGTTTTAGGAGAAGCCCACCTCTTTATAAAGATATAAAGGCACCACAACATATAACTGGCTTGAAAAGTTGCATCTGAATAAACCAACAATGTGTCAAACACAGTGGAGGAGAGGTGATGATCTGGGATCTTCCTGCCTGCACTTTCTTCTTTTTTATTATTTATTTGCATGGAGACAAGTGTAATGTAATTACAAGCAAATTGTGAACACTATAACATTTATAGCCTCAGCTATTTTGCAAGCCACATCTCCAGATGGCTTTTCACAACATAAAACAGTTTAAAAGACAGTAAAGCAGCACAGAAAGATAAAACATTTATGATGTACATTTTACAATTACCTTAAAATGGACCACAATGAAACAGGTTCCATCGTAAAACCATCGTCATGATTCTGACTGTAAAACAAGACGCCTCTTCTTTAAAAACACGCTCCCTCATGTTTGGGGTCTTGTTTTGAATGTCTGAATTTTTTTATTGGATTTCCATCTTTTTAGTGACAGTAAAATGACAAAACTATTTTGGTCTTAATCTGAAGATTTCACGATAAGGAATCAGTTTTGAAGTCTTGAGTAAAAATGTAAAACTCAGAATACGGGAACCAAACCGAGTCAGACAGGAAATAAAGGGATATTAACAAAAAGAAGAGTTGGGAAAAGAGAATCAGTACAGAAAACTACAACATCAGCAGTTTTCTGTATGTTTTCTTCATTTTTGCATAATAATACACAACTGTTTTAGGATTATGCATATTATAGGTTGAAAAAAGAAGCTGTTAACAGATTATTTTAAAAATTTTCCTCACATGTAAAAATGAAGCAATTAAAATATTACACTTCTGCATGTCTTCTTTTATTATACATCAAAACAATATTTTCTCCTAGCTGCTAGCATGACTACAGAAAACTTGCAAAAATCATCCTTAAAAGCAGGAAGCGATTCAGAAATCCATGATCCGAGTGAGAGGAGGGGATTTAAATAAAGATGTCCACTCCATCCCCTTCAGCTAATTTTATTCAAGTTCAACATTCAGAACTAAAACTCAATGATCTCTTAGGATATAAGCCCTTAGCCAAGACAGCGGCACGTCCTTAAGCAACAAGTCGGTGTAAAACCGAGGCATGCTTTAATTTATTTATTTTTGCCACTTGTGACAAATCCTAACCACTCGTTCATCTTAACACCTCAAACGGCCCGCTGATGGGATCAGCCGAACAAAACGGACCATCTGCCAAGTTGTTGGCGCCGTTGACAGTCAAAGCTTTGGCTTGAATGTCTAAATCGCAACGTCCTTAACAGTTGTGGCAGGCTCTGCCTTGGGGCTCCCGCAGGAACAGGGGGATTCTTTATGAGTCTGGCAGGTGCAGAAAGTGGCTGGGACCCAAACTCGTCAGCAGCCGAATGATGGCGGCGGAGGCTGGGCTTGGCAGGGAGGAACTGTATCACATATAGAAGGAAGGGCCCCCCATTCCTCTATCTGGCAGTGATATAGCACACTAATGTAAGGGAGCGAGAGCGGGAGCTTATCTGCTGCTAAATAATACAGAAGAACCAGCAGGCAAGAGACTTGAACTGTGGAGCCTTTTAACTTTTTTTTTTTGTTGTGAAATTATACACGAGTCTTTTGCTGTGTTTTTTCTGGTATCAGTGCATAAAAGGCTTCAGATCAGCTGTCAGGATTGGAGGGTGTAACGTCACATTAAAATAAACCTGTGAGGGCGAATTGATGTGACAGCACATTAAAGCTTTTGTAGACAGAAAGAAAAGGAGTTAATATCCCCCAAACATCTCATAAATTTTCTACCTACAAAGAACAAACAAAGAAGGAAATTTCTGAGTTTGAAAAGTCACAAATTTGCTAGACAAACCCAGAAAAGATTATGAAAACATAGTCTGCTTAGTTCTGCCTATTTTGAGATGTTTTAGGGCGTCTTGTCCGTTTAAATCCAAATAAGCTGCTGTTGGCCCAACTAAACCTTTACACTGACTGCAAACGGATGCACATTTACACAACCGTATATCTTTGAAAAATAGAAGTGGAGCCTCCTGCACAATCAATGAGAATGCAGCAAGTGTTTTCTGGATTATATGTTAACTGCAAGCCTTGTCTTCTACAGCAGCCATTGTACAGCACATACATCGGTAAAACTGAATCTAATAGGTGAGGCGCAGCACCTGCTGATTTGTGACATTACACATTCGGTAGGGTTTTGAAACGGCTCATTTTCCAGACACCAAAAAAGCATCAACTTATTACCAAAAACTGGCTGGGTATTTGTGGGCTGATTTAAGACCCAAATGGAAATACATACATGTGCAAAGTGTAAATTTGCATAATAGGTCTCCTCTGAAGTAGCCAAACCAACATGCTACAGACCAACATGCTAACGGACTAGCATGCAGGTCACAGCTGACGTGTGCAGCTGGGCCAGGAAGGCAATTTCTGAACTGGGCCAGCTTGAGGCTTGGCTGAGAGTCAAAACAAAGGGGCGGGGGGAAAAAACAAAGAGCGACAGAGGAGATGCTCACCACAGAGGCTGGCTCAAACAAAGGTCATAAGACCAATGAGGGGCTAACAATGATCCAATGAAGTGCAGTGTGCAATGTGCCTCTCTGCCCTCCCCTTCTCTTAAACACGAGTTTCTCAGCGTGGGCCTGAGAAGTAAGGAACAACAAGCACTGCCATCATCATAAACCCATCATAAAGCGGTTATGACTAAATCAACAGTTATGCTGCAGGGCCCGAATAATCAAGTGAGACGTTTTCGTACTCAAACAAAGCAAATGAGCCATGCAGAGCAATTGGCCAGAAACCTGTTAAAAGTCAAGGCTGGGAGCCAGGATTAAACATAAATAAAGAAGTGCCATCTAGGTTCCCTAATTGGACACAGGTTGACAACCCACCGAGTAGAGACAGGAAGAAAGGGCTGATGACAGAAATATGACTGAAAAGTGCATCATCTCAGTGCAGCAACCTGAAACGCAGAGTGTGCCAAATCGACGGCGGCTGCAGCATACAGCATTATCAACTGTGTTTATGTCAAGTTCTGAAACCTTTGAAGTTGACTTCACCTAAAAGAAAATGCAGATAGTGGATCCTACGGAAGAAATGATTAATGAGTGGATGCACCATGTCTCTGAGCGCTGAAGAAAAATAAATTGAATCAGCTATTAAGAGCAGTTAGCGGGGAAGCAACACAACTATTGGCAAAAAGTGGCAACATAGAGGCGTTAAGACTGACCGAACTGAAATCAATGGCTAAACAGTAAATAACATCATGTTGACTGATGATAGGGGTTTTAGAGTTGAGAAACTGTGATGAAGATGACTTTGGAAGAGGAACAGGGCCACTGGAAAAAAACAAACAGAAACAGATTTTGGTTTTTTGTCAGAATTCAGGGAGTAATGCCAGATTTCTGAGGAGAAAAAGTCAAAATTCTGAGAAAAAAATCTAAAGTCTGAGAAAAAAATGTCAAGATATGAAATTAAAATCAATTCTGAGAGTAAAGTTAGAATAAAAAAAAAAAAACACAACAAACAAATTCTGAAGTCAAATGAAAGTTAGTATTGTGGGTTTTTTCCAGCGGCCCCAACCCTCGTGCGTAGATAAGTCATCTGCATAAACTCCCTGACATTTAGCAGCTTGCTTGTTGTTTGGAACGCATCGGAGAGCAACTTGTGAGTATTTTTGTTTCAATTGTCACTGCTGAGGCAACCGACAACATCAGCCGCACATAAATGACTCATATTTGCATCCCAAGTGATGTAATCTGCAACAGCAGTAGAAAACTTCAGATTTTTTTCATAGTTCAGACAATGGAAGTCTTTGTTTTCTTTAATCAAACAGGATCGGTGTGTATAACTTGAAAAGCTGTAATTATTTCCTCTACGTGACAAATTGACAAATTATTTGCAGAAGTTCACCTTTTTTTGTTGAACAGCCTATAAATTAATCATCAGGCTCAGTTTAGCTTCATCTTTCACATTTAGGAGCAACATCATACAAAGAACGTAGCAAACAGGAGGAGGTCTGACATCATGAAATCCAAAAGGTTACTGGCCAACGCTCCTGCTCAAGAAACAAAAACTATTGATATGCCGTGGGCTCGGCTGCAGACAATGGAAGGGCCTGTCCCACCTTCTCTCCCTCATGGCAGAGATGTCACAGAGAGCACCAAACAAATGGATGAAGGGACAGGAAGGGAAAGAAAGGACGGGGAGGCGGTGGAGGAGAACAAACGCATTGTTCTCGGGGTGGAGAAAGCGGTATTGTGAGGAAGACAGATAGCTTATGTGGGAGAATGGAGTGAGGGAGGAGGGCGGGGCGCAAATAAGGACAGAAAGGTGAAACCTTGCTCCTTCTATTTATTAATAGCTGCCCTCTTTTTCTTTTTGCAGTCAGAGATAATCCAAAATGCCGCTTTAAGGGGACACATCCTAAAACAGAGACACTTTCAGCACAGCTTCACCTTTCATCTCCTTCAGCAGCAGATCAAAGATCAATTCAGGAGCATTTTCTGTCTGGGAACGCCACAGAGCCTCCAGTGAGTGCCTAACAAGTGGAAAAAAACCACAGGCGCTGAGCAGGCAGGTTTGAAGCAGCCTCCCCCTGCAGGTGCAGGCCTGGCCGGGTGACTTGATGCGAACCAACAGCACAGCTGTTTGAACACGGGCAGGAGCCTCGGTGGGAAAGGAGGCTGGTGCGCAGCAGCGTCCCGCAGGCGAGCCGCGTGCGCCAGCTGCCCCCCGCTGTAAACATCAGTGACACAAACATGTTGGGCGCACACACTTTCACCCAGTGTCTTGCAAAAATAATCCAGTTTCAAGGAATTTGAACTCAAAGTTGACCACTGAAGTGGGAGAAAAGAAATGTACTAATAATCTGAAAAGTGGGCATTGTAAAAAAAAAATTATCAGTGATAAAATTGTGACAGGAAAAAAATCCATTACTAAAAAACAATTTCTGTTAATTTGATGTGAAAATAATCGGTGTGATATACAAATTTGACATTTTATAAGTTGTTTTCTTTCCAGAAAAAAACAGTTATTTTCCTTAAGTTACGATATTTTCATGAACAATGAAAATATCGAACCATGAAAGAAAAACATGTTTTACCCAGAATTTTACAGCTTTCTGGCAACTACAGCTGCCAGCATTTTACCGCAGAATTTCCTTTTTTTTTTTTTAAGTGTGTCAAGAAACACTTCTTTTATTCCCCCATCTTGTTGCATCAAGAGAGAAATGTTTGCCCAGATCCAGTCAGGATGGATGCAGACCAAATGTGAACATCAGTTTCCAAATCTTGCGACAATTGGATTTAGCTGTAAACTTTGACTGGGCCAGTTGAAAGTCATTTGAAGCCTCAAACACGTTTTCCATTGTATTTAGTCCAATCAACCCTTATTGGAGAAATCACATCCTGTGGTTGTGGAAAAGATCTTAGTCTATTTAAGAAACTACTGGAGAAAAACACCTGAAGAGATCACAGTAACTACTGAAATGGAGCTAAAAACTGAGAGATTATTAAAAACTGGAAGGAAAGTGCAAATGTCTTTGTACACTTGAGGTAAGACAAAACTAACTTACATGTTACTTTTCAGCAGTATACAAGAGCCTGTATTAAGTCAATAATTCCTTAATATCGATTAAAAAACACTAGTTATAAGTGAAATAGTGTGTCCATGGAACAAGACATCTTAAATTTTGGGGAGTCAGGTAATATTTGTCTCCTTCCACTTGACAGCTACACACTACTTTGTGTTGTTCTATCACATAAGCTACATTGACGTCTGTGACTCCAAAATGAGAAAAAAAAGGGTGCGAATACTTTTGCGAGGATCTAAAAACAATCTTATGCAACCATTTGAGGAGGCTTCCTTTCCCTCAAACAAGCTCGAAAATGACTTTCGACTGCGCCGCACCTTCAGCTATTTACTACAGTATCATTCTGCAAACACAATAAGCAACTGACTTAATTACATATTTGCTTTCTCAATATTTCATGCTCTGTCGCTTGTTTGATTTCTATTATGGCTTCTTCCATTTCTCGCTTTGTGTTCAAGCCAACCTCGGATGCAACAGTACAGCTGACAGCCATTTGAAATTCTGATTTTAGGAACAACCAGCAGGGCCCTTAGTTTCTGGTAAGGATGAAGGAGAAAGAAAGAGATGTGCTAATGATATTCATGAAGTGTCAGAAGTAACATGCAGGACAGGAAATGAATAAATTACAAACAAGGAGGGGGAAGGCATTAAGAAACTAAGCCTAGCTTTACACAAGGAGATAAAAAGAGGGGGTAAAATAAGCAGCAGACAGAACTAGACTTGGAATTTCAAAGCAACAATGACTTCTTTCTCAAAGTTCTTGTTCAGCAGACGCAGAACAGCCCACACACAGAAATAATAGGCAAACCAACAGCCACACACTGGGAATACTTGCATACAGACACACCATAACAAACAGCACCCTCACATGCTTTTGAGGACAGGAAATCCAAACCTCTCTGCATGTGAAAACAGCGACATTATGCCACATGCCGAGCGAGTCACTGCAGCATTTCACATGTAAATGCGCCCAATACACGCTGGAAAGATGCAAACTGGCTCCACGCCGACAAACACAGACACAGGAATTACAACGACGGCGCTTTTTGGTTTATTCCCCTGCATCTCTTTGCATTCAGCGTCGTCTCCTGCTGATGCAAGAGAGGAGCGATAACCGGCTGCACGTCCACCCACTTAAAACCAGGGTGCTGAGCCGAGCATGTGGGGCTGCATGTGGGCAGAGAGGCACATAATCTGAAACACTCACGAGCAGATGTGAAGCAGGTTGGCCATGCTCGCCACATCGTATCTCATTACTCCATCATTTATGGTAAGTGCTAAGGGACTAAACTAATAACTAAGAAAATTAGCTTGAGGACGGGTTGTTTTTTTTTTAAAATGGTTTTTATGGCACTAGTGGCCTTTTTTTTTAACAGTCACTGGACAAGAGAAGAAGGGAATTGAGGAAAAAAAAAAAAAAAAAAAACCTGCATTGAGGGCTGTAGCTTGGCCCGTCAGTCACCATAACAAATTTTAATGAACGATAAATTGTCCCAGAAGTTATTGCGATAAATGTTTTGAGACAATTTTCAAGTAACACAACGGTAATTTCATTATAATGCAAGAATGCATTCTCAAAGCTCAATAAACTTTAAATTCTAATGAACATTTAACACTGGAACTTACAGAAGAATGGTAAAACATGCAAATGGAAATGACTGAACTCATTTTTATCCATCATATGATTAAGTGGCTTATTGCAACAAGCCTAACTGTAGTCTCTGTATTCAAGTATACTAAAGCTGCAATAATCAGTATTGGTTTACAGTTCCATCTTTATATTCTGGACCTGCTTGTTCCATGTTTCCAACGCAGCACTTTGTAACCATCTTTATGTGTCTCTCAAGGTTCAGGTATGAGTTCAGACTCATTTGCTCCTCCTTTGGTTCAAAGAACTTCAGTTTTGTTTCTGTTCAGCCAGAGAAGGATATGGCACATCCATACATTTATATGTTCATCTGTTCAGTGCTTGAATGTGTTTAGTCACCTGGTGACATTGTGATGTAGAGCAGAGCATCATCTGCATAGTTACAGTAATTTATCTTTGCATTTGTTATAATCTGAGCTAGCAGCAGAATGTAGATATTAAAACTTGGGGAACCCAGCATGGGGTTTTGTTGCAAAGTTACCTACTGAAACAAAAAAGTCCAAGACTCAACCCAGTCAGGTATTGCAGCAGATTTTGGCCCAGCTCTCCAGGAATATAGCGCAGAAGTCCAACAGAACTGTGGCCATCACTGAACACTTTGACGAGGGCAGTGTCAGTACTGCGGTGAGCACCGAAAATGGACTGAAATACATCAAAGTGGTTGGTCATTGTTAAGAGATTGTTGAAACAGTCTTTCAATCGCTTTGCTGATGGCTGGCAGGTTGGAGACTTGCCTCCAACTGTGCAACAGCAACTTGTTCAGATTGTTCTGTTTCAGCAACAGCTGTTTTTAAAGTGCGAGGGAAAACACCCGACAAGAGGGATGACTATTATTTGAATCAGATCAGACACCATGACGGTCAAATCTACTTTCACACTTTTGCTGCATTTTCTTGTCATTCTGCCCCATTTTTGACAGAAATATTTCAAACACGGCTATTGTAACGTCCCTGGCAGTCGGTATAGTAGTTTAGATGCTTTCAGTTTATTTTAAGGCCAACATTTTATTTTTTTCACAGCGCTCCCTGCAGCCGTTGTCCTTGCTCCGTGTGAGTACCTGTGGGCTAAGCAAAACTCCCTGACAAGATAAAAAAATTTCCGACACAGGCACTCGTTTTGGCAAAAACACCATTCAGAGGAACTCTCACAAAAACAGAATCAAAACAAACCCATCACGAAGTGTCTTGGTTTGTCACAAGCACACCCATTTCTCAGATGAAATCATCATCCTGCTGAAAACTCTTCTCTACATCATAATCGCACGTCCTTGGCTCTCAAACCGGCCCCCTCCCGTCTCCTCCTCACGTCTATGATTGATTCAGGCTGGACAGTTAGCAGATTTCCATCCATCTCATGATCGCTGTCGGGGCTTCTCTTTTGTCCTGCTGTGAGCAACTGTCAGCTCTGCATCTATTCCTGCTCCTAATAACGTTCCTGGGCAGTTGGAAATCTCCTTGGCTTGTCCTCCTATTTCCGATACATGCCGATTGCACTTTTTTTTTTTGCTGCTGCAGGAGAAGAAGCTGGGCCTCAAGTATTGGTATGCCACCTGCGTTGCTTTAGCAATGTGAATTTCAGATAAAGATCTATTAAAAGCGGTAACTGCCAAATCGATGACGGTTTGGGGATTTATGTGCGCGGCATGCGCCGAGATGTTTATGCAATTTTCGCCCTCAAAAGGGAAACCGTAATGAGTGAACACGCAGCTTCAATAAATCAATAACAAATTACAGGAAGCTCAAAACTGGAAGACGCCTTTATTTTCATTCAACAATACCAAAAGGGAGAAGATATTTACAATTACATTGAGATTTTCATCATGACATGGCTGCAGAGACTCAGTAGTAGTCCTCCGGGTCAGCTTTCTCCCCTTGATTCTGAATCTGCTGCTGCTTCTTGTACAAATCAGCGATCTGCAGGGATCGAGGAGGAAGAGGAGGAGGAGCAACGTTCAGATAGATGGAGGGAGAGGAAGACAGAAAGCAGGAGGGGAGGAGGAGAAGATCATGAAGTTGGGTCAGTAACATGAAGAGGAAAAGCTAAAAATAACAGTTTGATTATTCATATCCCGAGCTTTGAAGTCAGTGACTCGGAGCTGCTGACTGGGAGACGGAGGCTGTGTTCATTTATCAGAGATTAGGTCGAGAAGAGGGGAGAGGGGACGAGGTGGGACAGTGAATAATGGGCACGCAGCAGGGGGGCTCCGAGAGGAGGAAAACAATGAAACATCACATTATTTATCGAGGTGAAGCTTTGAGTCTCGGCCTGAAACAGACTGGGTCCAACATGTTCTGGCTCAGGTTCAGCTTCTCCTGATTTCCTCCGACTTCAATGTTTTAATTTAATCCTGAGCATCACCACTGGATGGAAACTCTGTCTGCAGGTGCATCACAGTGAATTAGAATGTTATTTCAACTTTATTTAACTAGATTTATGACAGACTAAGCAATGAGTTTCCAGAGTTTAATGTGAAACTCATCAGATCAGACACTATTAGTTTACAGCTAATTAAAACCCAGCATCCAGGTTTGCATAAAATTACATCAACCAATGTAATTTTTACACAAAATTTAATTGAGCAAAAATCAGATGGATGATAAAGTGCAAAAACAAAATCTTACCAAGTTTTTCTGTCTAGTTTCTGGTGTAAATATCTTAACATACATGATATAAAACAAACAATAACTTACAAGTAACTTCAGCAAGAAATAGGAGCTTATTTAAGTCAATAATTCCTTAATATTGCTGAAAAGGTACAAATTATAAGTGAAATAATATGTCTATGAAACAAGACATTTTAGTTTATAATATGGGAAAAATATCTTGGACCAAAAAGAGAACAAAAATACTTGGTAAGATTTTGAGTTGTTGCAGTGCAAGCAAACGAAGAGAAAGTTTGATGGAAGGAAAAGTGTGGTATGTTGCATAAACAACATGGATAAATGAAGGTTGAAGCTTCAAAAGTAACCAGACAGATTTATCCAGAATATTTTGCAATGTCACTGATTCAGATGACAGTAAATTCAGCATTTTTTTTTTTTTTTAAGGAAATCAAGGTCGCACATAATCCACATAATCCAAGCAATTTGAGGTGATAATTTGGAGCATCACCTCTTTATGCTTTTGTCTGCTGAGGAGGTTAATGCAGATGCTGGTTTTATCTCCAGCAGGACCTGGCAGCTGCCCACACTATCAAAACCATCACATTGACCATACGACTGCACAATTTTACATTTGGATGTTTTTGCTTATTTCACAAAACTGCAATGAAAACTTTTTTCGCATAACACAAGCCACATGATCAACAACCAAACGTTACTTCTGGCGGAAACTACGACAAAGACGACGGCAGGAAGTAGTTGGTGGAAGACACGCCGTCTTCCACCAAGACACGCTGCTGCTTCTTGTAGCAGCAGTGTGATCGTGTGAACAAATGTATTCATGTGTGATTTTAATTGAGCTTTTTATTTAAAGGAAACACAGCAATTGCAGAATTGTGTTTTTTTGACATTAGCGGAATACTGAAAGTTTTGAGCACATTTCTACAGGTAATAGTAATGCAGCTACTCACCATGCCTAATATAAACCTCACAGTAAATCTATTGAGTATTGCCAATCTGCATTAACGCAGCAATTCATGCAAAAGGAGCTCCAACCACTTACTTAGTGTACAATACAGGAACATAGTTCTCAATAAGATGATTTTTCTGCATTAAAAGTAATTTAACTGAGATTTCAGTTTTCATTTATAGAAATAAAAGCTTGAAATAAATCACTGTATGAAATATATTTATATTTTTCTTTTAGAGTTGAATCACTGCAGTAAATTACATTTTGAATGCCATTCTTACTCCTTGAGATGCAGCTGTACATTTACATGCTGCCAATGTTCCACCTTGATTCCCAAAAGTAATGAACACACCTCCACACTCTGCATTCGAGTCACAGACGGTTTGGAATGTAAAACGGTTCAGACGGGACTCGGGCTTGTCAAGGAGGTATTGGATCTTCGGCCTTAGTTTGTACATCAAGGACAACTTTGGTCAGACCTGTGTATAAACTTTTAATTCATATGGATTTTTCCCCCCGTGAAACAAGATAAAAATCAGACGGCATCAAAATAGTCTGACGCTGCGTCAGATAGCATATTTCCCTGTGAAGCTGTGACAGCCGGTGCATTTCTCTGCTCACCAGCAGCTCTGCTTTTTTCCTCAGTTTGTGAGCATCACAGCGACTCGAGGAATCAGTTTGTATCCAATTTTTGCAACATAACAAAATTCTCCTGCAGTGTTTTAAAGGAACAGCAGGTATTAAATGGTGAACTGTGGTTAAAAAAAAATAAGTGTCAATTTTCTGTTCAGGAGCTTTTACATGTTCTTGGTCATTTCATATGAAAGAAGGAAAGCAAAGAAAAACATTGAAAAATTACATGTTTATACTTGCTTATTAAATGGAAATTAAAATGTCAAATGAGCCGAAAAATGATCTCGTCATCCCTATAAAAAAACTAAACTAAAAAACTTAATGAACTTGCAGCAAATGTTTCAAATAAATTGTTATTTTTTCCTTGTTTACATATGTAATATCTGCAATCTAATTGCTGAATAAACAATATAGTTTGTATGAGTTGGTCATCAGAATTAGAAGTGATCTCAAAGAAAACCAGAAACCTGTCAAAACTGGAAATAAATAGTTTAAATCTCCTGCTAAACTAAGCAGTAGTTTAATTCTGCTTAACGTTGATGATGTTGGTTTCCATTTTAAAACATTACGTATTATCTGATTTAATTTTTCACAAACATTTACTGTTTATTTAGATGTATAGTAAGACTGAAATGTACAACAAAGCATTAGCGACATGCTAAAAAACCTTCAAAGGTACAAATGATGAGATTAAAGTCACAAAATTACGATTTTATTCTCGTAAGATGAGTTTACTCTCATTTCAACTTTATTTTTAACATTTTTCACAATATGGCCCTATACTTTGTCATAGAAACATATATAAATTATACTTAAAAAAAATATTCACGACATGTGGCGTTTTAGAAACTAAGAATAAACATCTCAAAAACTTGTGTTTTTAACCTTTTTCTTTTCTTGTGTTTTTAATCCTTTTGGTCATAAAACACTGGAAAGCTGAATGCGTAAAACAGTATTTTGCAGCAATCTGATGGTCGAAAAGCCTTTCAGCTCAGATTAAAAAAATGAATATCTTTGTCGCTGAGCTCATGTTGACAGTTATTCACCAAAAAGGGCTTCAGGATTGAAGCTTGTTTTGTTGATGTGCAGATTTTGATTAAAATGCGATTAATTCCAGACCAGTAAAATACTTGGAAGTTTGTGGTTGTGATTGTAATGTGGCGACTTTAATAGCAACTGTTTTCAAAGTGCTGGTCTGAATCTGCAGCTGAGCCTGAAGGAAGCAGCAGCTCTCAGTCAGCAGCTTTGCTCAAACTGATGCAGGATGCTCCTGCATCCACTCCTGCTTGCATGAAAAATAAAAAATAACACGCCGTCCTTGCAGCGCTGCTCACCCTTGAAATTTTACAGGACCGCTTGTGTGAAGTGACCATGATGATATTGATTATGATGTGCCACATTTCTGTGACACTTTAAAAGATACAAACAAACATGACAGATTTTTTTTTTTTTTTTTTACCGTTTTGGAGTCATTTTTAGACTGCAGAAGGTCAACGTGTTTAACCTTCTGCTTCAAAGCTACCCGGTTAGCGTGTTTGGTCGTGTACTGGAGGCTTTGTGCTTCAATGCTTGGCTGGTTTTCTACTTAATGTCACGTACCTGAGCTCCGGTGGTGGCGTCCTCGGGCTTCTTGTCGTCTCTGATGCGAAGGAAGCGAGGGAACCGCAGAGAAATGCCTTTCTCTGCATCCACCTGAAGACAGGTTTAACCATTTTAACACTGTAAAAAGCTGCTGGTACATGTGAGCACTCAATTCCTTGTAATTCACTCTTTTAAGATTCAGGACTTTAAAGTAATTATGAGCCCATTTGTTGAGTTTAATTCAAGCTGCAGGACTTAACCCTTTGTCCTGGTTTAATTTATGCCTTCCTTTTATTACCTCCTCTGTGCTGAAGTATCACATTTTCTTTTACCGAATACCCAAAACTGCTTGAAAACGAATCAAATGCTGGATGTAATGACTATCCAACGTTTTTGAAGGATTAGAAAATATGTTAATTCCCTCTTTTTTCACTTCCACCTCACCCAAAGTGCAGGTTGTACAATTACAAAAGCGGAAAGCTTGACACCAATGTAAAGACAGACAAATATATTAAAATACCATGTGTTTTCATTGATGCTAACTTTTCTACTCTGCCAACCCACAGCTCAATAGCAAGTATCGTTCCGCTAAATCCGGCTTCTTTTGCAGCAGTTTCATTAACTCAAGTAAGATGCATTAATTATGACTCTTCATTCAGGGCAGCAGAGCAGAACTGACGGGATTTATCTGCAGAAACACACAAGGGAGCGGATTAACACCGGCTGCACTGACCATTCCCATGGCAGCCTTGTAGACAGGCGACAGCGAGAGGTCGGCGCACTTCACCTCCCAAACCTGCACGGCGTCCAGCCACACGTCGGGCTCAGCTGATTGGTCCACGCGGTAGTAGGGGCGGGGCTTGGCCAGGATGTGCTCCTAGAAAACAGGAAATCAGGAAGGTTAAACACAAGCTTGTTTATTTATTCCACTTTTTTTTTTCCTAGAGTTCAGTCTCTCTAAGACAAATTTTAATATATAAAGAAGAAAATTAAAGATTAATGTGTAGAAGTTTCTTTCATAGAGGTCAGGTTTTAAATATGAAACCTGGATGGATGGATGATTGACTGACTGGACAGACAGAACAGAAACACAATGATGCATCAAGAGAGATTGATGGACAGACAGATGAAAGAGGGACGGATGGGGAAAATGACCAGAGTGGAGGGTGAAGGGAGAGACAGAGCGGATGACAGAGGGAGAATCAAACCGGCATGTAAATGGATGGAAGTATTAGACAAAGCAATTAAAAAAAACAAAGTCTGGTATTTCAAATAATTATCTGTTCTTTTAAAAATGTTACATTTTATTTATAACCCACTTTACATTTAAATCTCAAAGTAGTTTTGCACTGATTGCAGTTTTCTGGCCTATCTTTATAAACCCTCACTTACCGGTTCCAATTTTGGCCAATTTTTTATTTATTTTTTCGTCTGAAATGTTGATGAAAACAACAAGAAAGTCACTGAGTTGTAATAGTGGGACGACTGTCATTAACGGGAAACGTGCAGACGTGAGCTGATGGGAAGGTCTGCCAGTCAAACCTCTGTGATGGCAGAGAAATAAAGGTTTTTACTGATTTATTGATTTTTTATTGATCTTTATTCCTTTGCTGAGGTAAATAAGATCAGTGGATAAGATCGGCTTCTCAAAGTGCTAATGTAAAAACAATAAAAACTCATTTAAAATTTAAATCATAAGATTTTAAGAGCAAGAATGTCCATTTAAAAACTTGTAGCAGAAACATTTAGTGTGAACAATAAAAATAAAACATTTGGAAACCTTGTTAAAGTAATAAAAATGACATTCCCGGAGGTGAATCAGAATCTCGGTCTGACCTTGATTTAGATTAAAAAAACCATTTCTGAGTGAATTGTTAACTAGACTGTAGCAGGCCAGTTAACTGGGTCACATTAAAGCAGTGCTGCTGTTTCCCAGCACATTATTTATACTGTAGGAATTCAAGGTCTAATGCTCTAATACTCACTGAATTACAATGCATGAGCTGACAGGTGTGCAGTCTTATTAAAAGTTGTGGCCGATCGTCATAAGTTTTGTCGAGGCTCAGAGTTGTAGTCTGTAAATTACACTCAGAAACATAATTCAACTTTTTTTAATTCTGATGCAACTCCTAAAAATAAAGAAGCAAACACATTTAGTATTGGTCCAAAATGCATCTAAACGTCAGAAACAGCCATTAGGGCTGTTGTGTTGCTTTGGAGAGCCACACTCAGACTTATTAAGATGAAGAACTCAACTATCAATGATAATCAGAAGCTCAATATTCATCCAGTAGATACGCAAAGTTTTAAAGTGCAGCTTCACAGAAAACAAGTGACAGCATTATTTTTAATCGACTGGCTTAATACAAGCTCAACAACTCACTAATGTTGCAAGATATAAGAACAATATAACACTGACACACTTCTATTGTCCAATGACATATTTCCATTCAATACCGTTTTTTGTTTGATAGGAAATCAGACTAAACCTTCTTTTTTTTTTTTTGGTCAATTAGGATTACTAAAATTATTTACATTTCTAAACAAAACAATATATATTTTTACTTTTTTCAAATTCATATGCTTATAATAGATGAATATTTGGTGGAATTGACTTTTAGAGTACATTTAGATCAAAGGTTTTGGGATTTCCTTCCACAAGCATCTCGTTGTAGCTTGTGGGATATTAGCCCATTTTTCCTGAGAGAACTGCAAATCTTTTCAACTTTGGGGACACGTTTGTTTATGAGAGGGAAGCCATATTTACATCAACAGTTTTTAATGGGCATTGTGAAGTATCACTTTAGAAATCGTTGACAGAAACTGCAAAATAACTTCCTCAATTTTGCAATTTCCCCCAAATGTAACGATGGTTATTAATATTTCCACTTTAGTTCAATCAGACCATAGGAAATGTAACCAAAAATTAAATCATTTGTCCCAGAATGCATTTGTGAACTTTTTGCGTTGCTTCTGGAGTAACGGCTTCTTCCCTGCAGACCGGCTTTTCAGTCCATCCTCAGTTAAAGCTCTGTTTCACCGTGGAAAAGACACTGACAGCTTCACTCAGCATCTTTAAACACAAACGTCTGAATTTAAAAAAGTAAAAAAATATTTATATAATTACACTGACATTTTTATGAATTTAGACTTTTAGAAATAATATTGATAAACCTAACTATCCAAAAACAACTTGCCTGATTTAATGTCAGACAGTTTTGAAAAAAAAAAAGAAGTTTGTGTGTCCTATAATTTAGTGAATGGAAATATCTGCTTTAATCCATAAATAAAATCAGGTGTGTGCTGTTATGTACATTCTTTGCAAGTTTTATAGGTTGTTTTAGTTTGTAGATTTTAGTTCAATGACTTATTTTGTCCCTTGAATATTTTTTGGGTTTGGTTCATTTTATATAGTAACTTCTAGGTCAAAAACAGCTAAAAGCAGCACATTTCTGGACTTTTCAACCTTACTTTTCCAATTCTGTTTCTCTAAAACAAAAATATGTGCACTGAAATCAAAGGAAGCACGATAAATGTGAGAAAGGCTTTTGTTGCCTGGGGGTTACCCAGCTTTTCTCTGTGACTTTACAGACTATTACACACACCTTGCAGATTGAACAGTCTTTGATGGTTGACCACACCTGAGCATGCCAGCATGTATTCCCTGATTTCTACAGAACCAGTCCAGACTGAGTCTGCAGAAAAGCTCTTCATGGATGGATTTAAAATGGTTTATTTACAGGAATCTCATTGATTCACATAGACAAATCTGTATTTTAAACTCCAGGGTCTCCAGCATAACGGGTTCTAGTGTAAACAAAACAAAGCAGCACTGAATGAATTGCCTAATTTTTTGTCCTATAATTACTTTATCGTCTTGTATGTATGCATACAACATTAAAATTAGTGACTTAATTGCTTTTCAGGAAACTTTCTGTTTAACTCAAGTGCTTTTATCTGTCTACCTCAGACAGTCTGTCGATGCTGTGGGTCAGTTTAGTGCAGAAATCACTTCATTTTGAATGAAAAACCTCATTAAATAGGTCAAGTCCTCTATTAGGGGATGTGTGTTCCTCATGCCTTCAGGAATACAATAATTACACTGTACATTAAATTACAAACTTGACATATTAACACAGGGCAGCTGTTTCTGCTGCATGCAGCAGTGGTGATGATTTTAATGCATTCATTCAGAACGGGTAAAAATTCATTGGATTATTTTATAATTTAATGTTTGGTCAATATTTATTTTAAGAAAGGTGAAGGCTACAAATCTGTAGCCTTCACTGTAATTAATTCTGTTTAAATTTTTTACATTGTTGAGGTTTATTAACTGATATTCTGACTCCTACATTCTTTTCTGCATTTTTAACAAAAGTGACACAAGCCCTTTATATTAGTTGCATCATAATTGAAAACCACACAACAAAATAAATATTCCCAAACAAAAACGTTTTTTGTGAATAGCTTAACAAGAAAGATATTCATAACAACAAAGTTATTTGGTTATTCAACCATCAGATTGATGCAAAGTGATTCATGGAACTTCTTTGAAAAAAATAAGTTTTTAGAAATGCGGACGCCGATATTAGCGATGAAGAGGTTTGTTTGGTGCAACGTGTTTAGCATTGTGATGCTATTTTAGGCTTGAAAAGCTTCAGTAATAGGCTGAGTCCTTTAAGCACCACAATAGTCTGTTCCAGTGAACCATCAGATTGTTTTTTGAAGCAAAAATTAATTTCTAGTGGACCAAGAAAAGCGGCTTGGCCATCTGTCAATGTTTGTGCGCCAGATTTACTGTTGTACCAGAAACACTTAAAAGCAAAGGTTCCATCGTGGAACTTTAATATGCAAGAAATAAAAAGTGATTAATCTGGGTAATTAATAGAAATTAGCATTTTTAAAATAGATTTTAAATACCTGTCTATATAGAGTTCAGTATAAAAGTTTTATATCAGAATATTGATAAATTCTGCAGACTTTATCAACACTAAAGCAGTGAGTGGTTGAAAAGCTCAGTGGGAGCTGCGTCCTCTCCAGAGAGGCTGGTGTCTTTCAGACGCACCACCGAAAATGTCTCAACCTGCAGACTCACATCCTGGTTTGGACGCTGCATGTCTATGAACAGCAGCAGCTAGAAAGGAGCCAACAGAAATCAGTGATGCTCCTCTCCCCTCCCAGAGGGAAGTTTTTAAACCGGCGCTGCATTCTCAGAGCCACAGCCACCTTAAGGACCGTCACCATCCGTCTCCCAGCATGCCGCCCCCCACTTTCCCCTCCAGCCTTCTGGGAGAAGCCACAACAAGCATCTGCTGCAGGTCCTGCAGGGTGTTAACCAGCTTCTTCCCACAAGCTGTTGGGATGAGGAACAGACTATGTCCATCCCTGCTGGCAGTAAACAAATACATTTTTTTCTTGATGCATACTATTTTTTTTTTTAACAATAACAGATTGCTTTTACAGTTTTTGATATATTTCTGATGATCCAGAGGTGAAAAGGGTTACTTTTTTTCTAACTAAAACCCTTTAAAATCCCTTAAATCAAAGATATAAAAAAAAGTAAATCTTTTCATACAAAGAAATGGAAAATTTCCACTTCTGCAGTCTGAAAATAGCAGGTTGTTTGAAGTCATTTGTGTTGAGTTGTTAGTTCTCATAAAACTACTACATTCCTTTAACATTACGACTTTATC